CATGTAAATTTTCAAATATGTTCATGTAAACTTTCTGAATGTGAACATATTTGAAAATTTGCATGAACATCAATTTGATAATTTGCCTAACAATTGTAATCATTTAATAGAACTTGTAAGGGCTGAATGTGAAAAGTATATCGATGTACGAATAAATCATGAAGTCAAATTATTTAATTCGGTAAAATCTACGAAAAGGCAAATATTAAATAAATTAATATTATTTAGAGGACAATAAATATATTTAAATTATTTTGTAGTTTTATTTAATATGACACTAAAATATACTATTTTCTGAATTACAAACTTAAAATTGAATATTTGTCATAAGATGCAATATAATGTTTAATATGTAATAAAAATATTACTTAATCCGGATCTGCTTAAAGATGCGCGCGATCAGATTGCCTTCCACACTCCACTTCCCCGGATTTTGCATTCACTGGTACCCGTGCATTGGAATTAGATACGGCCAGTCTAGGTGGTCTGTGATCTGACCTATTGTAGAGCGGCACTAGGCCGGATAATGGAAAAAGTCGAATAATCGGGTTCATTTATTTTTATTATTTTTTTAAGAAATAAAAGCAGAAATCGGGCATAGGTCGTCGGATGTCGGATAATATGGATGAACGTCGCTTAACAGAATCGCCGTTTCACCCACAACGTTGGAAGGTCGGATAACCGAGGTTCTACCGTACAGTCCTCGCTTGTTTTTGTTTTGATGATTTTGCCTTTTATTTGCATTTTTTTGATACGATATGAGAAATTGGGGAAGAAATGATATAAAATGTTGAAAATAAGCAGAAGGTCCATAGCAAATAAATTTGTAGGCGGCCTGGAGTAAAGTATGAAATATAATAAGCTAGAAAAAAGCGTTATAACCTCAACATTATTGTGCAAGAGTTAAATTTTTTCAGTTTCTTCTACATTTGACAAAACTTATTTCGGCTACAGGCGATGCGACATTTGAAATGGAGTGAACAGTTTTCATAACACCCTTGGTTTGGGCCTCGTAAAATTGTTACTCCGTACATCGACAGTATTTTCAGCAGATTTTAATTAAATGTTTGTCTTATTTTTATATTCCTTGTTCCTCCTTCAATGACCGGCGAAAATTATTTAGATTTTTTAAAACGCCTTGCCTGTATTACTCGGAGATGTGCCTCTACGTGTGTAACAGGCTGATATCTTGGCCTGCACACTCCTCAGACCTGGATTCTTGTGATGGTTTCATTGGAGTCATTTGAGAAAGTAATTTATCGTAGTAGAGAAGCGTATAACCTGGAAGACCTAAGACATCAATAGAAAACTCTTGTGAAGATATTCGTCGAGAAAGATCTTTTATTTTCGCCACATGTAGTGAATCAAGGTTAGGCTAATCAAGACTGTGCACGAGACATTCCACGTCAAATCGACCACTTTTAACCCTGACCCCTTTCAATTTGGCTGAAACTTTTTTATTGTTTTCTATCCCATTGAAAACCTCAAAATTTTTTCAAATTTTTTCACCATCCCAAAAAAAGATGAATTTTTGAAAAAAAATAGCTTTCTTTTTAAATAACCATGACTCAAAAATTGAGTTATCGGGATGTTTTTTTTATTTTTGTTTTTAAATGTACTTTTTGAAAAAAAAACGTCAAAATTATCTGGACCTGTTTTTTTTTCAATTTTCGAAAAAAAACACTTTCTTAATGATTACCATTTTTTAAATCTTTTTTTTTTTTTATAAAAACATTTTTTCAAATTTTTTTAGTGGTTTTTTCGTTTTCTGCTATTATCTATTGAAAAAATCATTTATTTTCAAATTTAGCTTATTTCACGCCATTTTGAAAATTTTTGAAAATATGTATAGAATCCCAAAATTGAAAAAAGCTATTTTTGAATTTTTTTTTCTTATAAAAACATTTTAGAAATCCTCAAATTTTTTCAGTGGTTTTTTATTTTTCTATTATTATCAATTGAAAAAAAAAACATTTTTTTTCAAATTTAGCTTATTTCACATGCCATTTTGAACATTTTTGAAAATGTATATAGTATTCCAAAATTGAATAAAGCTATTTTTGAATTTTTTTTATTTTATAAAAAACACATTTTTTAGAAATCCTCAAATTTTTTCATAGTGGTGTAATTCTATTATCGATTGAAAAAAACCTTTTTTTTCAAATTTAACATATTTCACATGCCATTTTGAAAATGTATATAGAATCCCAAAATTGAAAAAATTTATTCTATGCAGCGATTGGCGGCAATTTCAAAAAGTCAAAAGAGGATGGTTTCAAAATGATTTATTTGAGCTCAAATGCATTGCATGTCTTTTTTTTTGAAAGCCCACCGTTTCATTTTCCACTGTACCATTTTCCAAAATTGTAATCGAGAAATTTTCACTTTTTTTTCGAAAATTGAAAAAAAAAACAGTCCAGATAATTTTGATCTATTTTTTTTTCAAAAAGTACAATTAAAAACAAAAATTTTGAAAATAAAAATGTCCCGATAACTCGATTTTTGAAAAAGTTATGGTTATTTAAAAAAACTATTTTTTTCAAAAATTCATAATTTAGGTGAAAAAGTTGAAAAAATTCTCAGAGGTTTCAACTGGGTAGAAAACAATAAAAAAGTTTCAGCCAAATCGAAAGGGTTAAACGTGGTTGAAATTTGAACTAATATATAATATAAGGGATAAGGAATAAGGATAAGGAATATAAGGGATATAATATAATAATAGGAATTATTTTGCAACTTTTATAATGGCAATTTTTGGGAATATTAACTATTTCTACGAGTTTTATTGTCCTCGAATGATTCAACTTTGAGGAAACCCCTTCATCTGTTGATTTTTTTTGTTTTAATGTCTTTTTAGATATTGTTGTTATCTCTTACTGCGGGAGGAGTGGGTTTGAATTTAATCGGGGCAAATTATTTGTTTTTACTCGACCTCCATTGGAATCCTCAATTAGAAAATCAAGCTCAAGACCGTATATACAGAGTAGGACAGCAGAAACCAGTATTTGTGTACAAGTAAGCTATCTTCCAATCCATTAAATTTTAAATACCGTTTACTTTCACTTTTGTCTGGTCGTGTAGAATAATTTACAACACAGACGTTCCCATTTTTTTTTAACAATCTGTTTAAAAAGATCTTAGAGATATTTACACATATTTTGTCCTCTTTTTAACTTTCATTTTGGGTTTAAAAAATGGAATACAAAATGTAAGACGTAGATTGTTGAATTTTATGTATTAAAATGTTTTTATATTTAATGTAAAAGCAGATACACAATTCATAAGTGTATAAAATTTATATTTAAGCGCTTAGTCTGTACAATTGGCCTTTGTTGGCACTGCCATTTAGATCTCAGAGGAAAACGTTAGAGAATTTAATGAAAATTCCTAATTTTACGTTCTTACCACCACTAACATAATTTTGAGATACCCCAATGAATAAACGAAGTTTTATTTGTATAACATGATATAGAATTTTAACAAAAGAAATGACCTATCGCAAATCTAGGGGGAAAACGTGGCTTTCAACTTGATATAATTTTTTTTTAGATTTATGGCTTCAGACACTATCGAGAAGAGAATTTTAGACTTACAAGAAAAAAAACTGGATATAGCAAATTCGATGTTAACGGGAACGAAACAAGTCACCGGAAGTAAATTATCATTAAATGACTTGAAATTACTTTTCGAAATGTGATAGATTAATATAGTTGAGATTTCTTTAATAGACTTACTATGTTTTATGTTTTTTATATTTATACTTTTATATATTAGATTAAAGAACTTACTTTAAACAAGTGTTTTATTTCATTCCTTTTTGTGAACCTTTTTATTATTAAATTTGAGATTCTAGTCAGTTATTACCAAAATTTTATTGGGGCTCACAAACGCAAATGTTTTATTTTTGCGGAATATTTATACAGGGTGTATCATTCTCATTTTACCAAATTAACATTGGCCGTTTGTTTTTAGCTAACCTGTTATCATATCATGTCAGATGGAGTGATACGTAGTTACATAAACCAGGTCGTCAAAGGTTATCACAAACTAAACGCAGTGCTTCAACAAAAAATAGTAACAACACATTAAAAATTTAAAATAATTTTCAGAAATTTTCCAAATATATCGGATTAGTATTTTTATTTATTTTTTATGTACATTTTATGACAACAAAAATAATTATTTTAAAATATAATTACAGTGCAACCTTTTTAATCCGAACACCACATTAATAGGCATTGTTTGTATTATCGAACATACTATAATGATTTATACATTATGTATATTATGGAAGTACATACACATTTTATTATGACAATATAAATATACAGGGTGTTAGTAAATAAGTGCGACAAATTTCAGGGGGTGATTCTACATGAGAAAATAATGGCAGTTTGCTTATTAAACGTATGTCCGCAAATGATTCGTTTCCCGTGATATGGGGTGTCAAAGTTTTTCTTAAAAACTGACGATTTAATTTATTGCTCTGAAACCGGTCGAGATGTGCAAATGAAATTTGGTGGGTTTTAAGAGGTAGTTATTGCACATTTTTTGACACGCAATTAAGAATTTTATGTTCATCATTAGCGCGCATACGGGTAATCTCAAAAGAAAAAAAATGGTACGCCACTGAGATATTACAAATTAAAAATCATTTTTGAATTCCTCGTTCAATTTGTGACAAAAAATCTCTCTTGCCTTTTCTTCGTATGGGGCGCCGTTTTGATGCAAAAAAATATACCAGGAATATTTGCGCGATTACGACAATCAATGAGGCGAAGAGTTGAATCTTGTGTCACGTCTGAGGGAGGTCATTTTGAACATTTGTTGTAGCTTTGCGCCTTTTCAAAATTTTATTAGTGTTATTCTTTCTGTTATTGTACTGGTTTAATGTTATTGTATTAGATAGTTCTTGATAATGTATTAAAGAAATAAAAAATACGCGTTAAGATATTTTATTTTTTGCATCAAACGGCACCCCATACGAAGAAAAGGCAAGAGAGATTTTTTGTCACAAATTGAACGAGGAATTCAAAAATGATTTTTAATTTGTAATATCTCAGTGGCGTACCATTTTTTTCTGTAAAAAAATTGAGATTATTACCCGTACGCACGCCAATGATGAACATAAAATTCTTAATTGCGTGCCAAAAAATGCGCAATAACTACCTCTTAAAACCCACCAAATTTCATTTGCACATCCCGACCGGTTTCAGAGCAATAAATTAAATCGTCGGTTTTTAAGAAAAACTGACACCCCGTATCTCGGAAAACGAATCATTTGTGGACATACGTTTATAAGCAAACTGCCATTATTTTCTCATGTAGAATCACCCCCTGAAATTTGTCGCACTTATTTACTAACACCCTGTGTATCATATAAGACACATAAAGCTTATATAGGGTAAAATATAAACATGTAGTTACATATACATATATGTATTATTTTAATCTTTTCACATTTTTTATTTTTCTTACTTCCAAAAAAAACTCCAAAATTGTTACACAAAACACGACGCGCAACAGGTTTTTCGCTATCGGCAAATAAACTGACTGCCGACTATGCGCGTACGCGCGAAGCAATCTAGTCTTTTCTTGTCATCGTTCAGATTTGGCCGTTCGGATTAGCGTGTGATCGGATTAACATGTGTTCGGATTAAAGAGGTTGCACTGTAGTTTTAATTACAATTTGTAATGTATGCCAATTCACTTACCATTATTAGTTAATATTTAAAAAATGTTTCATCTGTAAAATATATGACACATTTCACAGCATCCAAAAGCATCCATTTTTTTCCAGTCATTTTCCATTGTTCTGCTCTCTGTCATTTCGTTAGTTTCATACATTTGGTTTAAAATGGTAATAGGCAGCACTGATAAATGCGTACATCATTGAGCATACTATACAGGGTGATTCATAACTTTTCCAAAAAAAATTGGGAATAAATGCGACCGAAATAAAAATTATTGAAGTTGTAGTATTTTCCACCCTTACATCACTGGGCTAATGTAGTCTCAAGTGTCATTCGTGTAGTGCGCAATGTGCACTCTCCACGTGGCCCCAGGCGATTCAAAATACTGAAATCTTATTTTAGTATGTATTAATGTTTTTGCGATAGTGTTTACATTAGTTTTTCAAATGCCAAAAATGACTTGCGTGTATAGCAACTCGGAGTTCAAGGATATCTAATTAATTTATGGTGAAGCAAAACCACATTTGTGTTAATTCGTAGAGACTGGGTAAGACGGGCCCAAAATGTGTTTACATATCGATGAACAAAATTTTGAACAGTTGTAGCATCAGGTATGTCAAATTATTTTATTAATTAAAACCACAAATTAATTTTTTTAATAATAGGGGCAAAAGCAATTGAATTTGATGATATAAAATAGGTGTTATAAAGTTTTATTTATTTATTTCCTTGGAAATGAAATTCTTTCAATTCTTTGTCCGTTCATTTTTTATTACATTTTGCCGCCGTGCTGTGCAGAAATGTATTTTTAAATCATTTTCGAACTGCCCCTGTTGTTTTTTTTTTATTTAAGAGCTTCCTGTACATTCAAAAATTTTTGTTTGGATAAGTTCTAAATTACCGTGTATAGTATAGCTTATAAAACCATTGGTGCAGATACAACCAAGTTTAGAAATGGCCGAGTGGTGGCGTGAACAACAGTTAAGTGGGGTTTAAAAAACAAATTATAACTGAACTATTTATTTGATTGATTTGAAAAATATATATTTCAGATTAGTATTCTGGAGAACACATACTAATACCCCCAAAAAAGCCACACCCCGTTTAAAAAAGAAACTAAAAAAATTATTTAGTATAATGTTGAAAAAAAAACGTATATTTAAATTTTTAACCTTAATTTGAAAAGGAGCTAAGTGTGTAAAAGAATTAATTCTAACAATATTTATTAAAATACATACAATAGGTAACAACTTGCAAAATTTTAATATACTAAAGAAACAATAACAAAATATGAAAATAATAAATAAATTAGAAAAACTAAAGCTACCAATTTAATAAAAAATATATGGCAAATTACAATCACATTGAACCTTACATAATTTAAAAGTGTTTTTGTATCTTATAGGAGAAACATAAGATATAGAGGGCTATGTTCAGAAAATTATTCGAAAAGTTAGTTTTACATTAAAGTCTGTTAACTTTAATGCAATTTTTTGTATTCATGGTATTTTGTTTGGCAAATGTTCAGTGCAAGAAGCAAATTATGCAATAATTTTAACACAAAATCACTTTTAAGAAGGGAACTATTTCTATAATCCTTGAAATAGCTATTCATCTAACGCCTATATCAATTTGAAAAAGGTTCTATTTGGAAAAGAATTGTCTGGAATATTTTCCTAAATTACAGCAACTTTTCAATTTAGTAACATTTTCAATGTAAACAAAAAAATAATTGTAAGTACTTATTTAACAACCCTGTATTTTTAAAATTATTTGATTAACAAACGGGTTTTCTCGGCAAACTATAAAGTATATTTAATTTCCCTTGATATTCCAGAGAATCCCTATATTTTAGTTTTTAATAAATACAAACTACCACTTGTCTGTTTATATAATACAAATCTAGGGAATAGTTTTTAATGAAATCTAAAAATAATGAAATTATCACACAATCTACCTTTTGCATGCAATGATCTAAGTCTACAAGATAGAGGTTTGTACTTATTTTATTGCTTTGGGTAGATGTATGAGCAGCGTAATTTAAAATATGGTTTAGTAACATCAGGAAATGATTCATTGACCGTTCTTTACATCTAGCATTAGATATACAGGACAAGAAGGTTCGTCTAATTGTTGACATTGACCACATGTTCAGAGGAAGTTAGGCCGTCTGCGGCTAGGGGGCAGTGCAATCAACGTCGTCAGATCTAAGAAAGCATGTTTTAAAAAGAGACAAATTGGTACTTAAACTGTTATAAATGCGTGATTTGTTAGATCTGACGTCGATTGCAATGCTCCCACAATCCTGACAGCCTATAAACGTCAAAATTTGTAGGCAAGCATCAGGCTCCGCTTGACTTATCTGAGCGTAGCTTATACAGAGTGTTAGAAGTTTGACTGCCTTAATTTTAACAGACGATAGAATACATTAAATAAACAAAAAACCTTATGACAAGAGTCCTAAACTCAACCATTTCGAAGAAAAAAGATTATCAAAACCTCCAACTTGATGTACAAAAGTTCGATTATTGACATAACTGCATGCATAGAATACTATAAAATACAATTTATCACTTTTTTGAACTTCTTTATGCTTAATTCTAAAAAATATTTAGCGTAATTTTAAAATTCGATAGAATTCATATCGAGCAATGTGAAACGGCGCGGCGGATAAATCGAGGTACTAAATGCTGTCTAGCAATACGCAATTCTGTTGGTATCTGGAATTGGACCATGTCTGAGTGTTTTTTGCGTACCATTTCCTTTTCTTGAGGTGTTTTCCTGGAGTGCGCGAAAATTGGATTCGAAAGTGAATTTTGCTTTTTGGTAAGTACCTAAATTTTAATACATATGATTATTTGGATAACGTGAATTTTTGGGTACTTTAATTACATATTTTTCAAATTCAGAATTTGATTAAAAGTTAAGTTCGTTATAAGAGATTCATAATTACTAAAATTTGAGCTAAAATTTAAGCACAACACTATCTTCGTACTACAAAATCGATACATTTGATTTTATTTATTTAAAAACTGGAAAACAATTGTCTTGAAAGTTACTAAATGTTTCACAATAATAGCTGTTTACATTTTTTCCGTAGGACAAGTCTGCTGCGTGCACGAGTGGCATGCACCAGCTATGTAGCGTTAGGTTAAGCGCTGTTGTCACGTTGTGATGAAACTCCCCAATATTAATACTCGCTGTATTTTGAAAACTGTTAATCTTACGCCCCTGTAATATACAACTTTTTTGTGATTTATGATTACTTTATCTCATGCTGAAGTAGTGGCAGTCAAATTTTTTACACCCTATATAATCAATGTATCTGACAAGACATCCATATTTAAAACAATATAAAGTTACAATAGTTAAAAAAACGTAGCATTCCATCTACAGCGGTTATTGTTGAAGATAAAAAGTAAAAGTATACCGGGTGTTCCATTATTAAAAAGAACAGTTTGTTTATTTTAACACATTTGCAATGTTCGTTTGTTTGATTTCATATAAAATTCTCACGCTTTAGAAAAATTTATTTAACATGTATGTATTTAACATTTCATATCTCCAAAAATAGCAGCTGCAAGTATGGTGTAAAATATAGGAAAACACACTGTACAGGGTTTTCATTTATATTTTGACACAAAGTTAAGGGGGTTTTGTAGAGTGTGCATTATGAACTGGGTATACTGATCGATTAGTATTTTTTCAGCATTCGTAGGAATCATTTCACAAAAGAAATTTTAAAATGTCTTGTTTGAGCTATGCCTATCAAATTAACAAATATATTAGCTATTTTTCATCTATGATGGAACAATAATAAAATGTCATGTTTGTCAAATGCTGAGCTGACATTCCTGTCTGGCTAAAAGACACTGAAAGTAAAGTATAAAGGAAACAAACCCTTACAGCTGCCATACTGGATATTTTTATTACATGCCTTAATTTTTATATAGACTGTACTATTCCAGTATATGTAGATGATAATGAACGATACTGATTGTTTAACAGAAATATGTACCCAAATATCCATTACTTTAACATTGTATTGTCATATACATCGCAAGAATGAAGAAATAGAATAATAAAGGTCAAATTTCAAAATTCTTGGAAAGATGTAGACGAGACTAGGGATACGAAAAATAAAAAAATATGCCATGTTTTTGTTCACACTCTAACACCTAATAAAACAAATTATGTTGCAATTTTCACTCATAAAAGTACTTGTTAGGAGACTACATAAGTTGTTTTAATGAGACAGATATAGCATAACAACTGCATTCATCTACCTTTCTTTGTTTATTGTAGATCCCAATAAATGAAAACCCTGTACATCGTCTTTGGAAAAAAAAAGTATAAAAATGAAAATTTAATTGACTGTTTTAAAATAAATGCTTTTTATATTTGTATTAATGCAAGTTGAAATTTTTCATCAAAATTGAATCCTAGCGTATAAACGGCAAGAGATCTGCTTTTTTTTACTAATTTTTGAACTGTCAGTGAATATTCCATATATATTTATGCGAACGTGCAAAGGAAGTGTACAAATTCCAACAACCCTCTATTAGTTATGTTTGCCGACACTCACTCAAAAAATATCACAATAACTGAATAAACCAGTGTAGACGTTTTAAAAAATATGTAAAATACAAGTATATAATATATATTTATTGTTTTTAAAATATATAGTTAAGCTTTTATCTTACCAGCTACTTATTGACATTTCCAGGCCATGATTCAAAAGAAAAATGAAGGCTAAAGTGTGGCAAATTTTCACACAAACTCTTAAAAATTCACACATGAGGTCGCAGAAAACGTCATATCGGAAAAACCAAATTCTTTCGATGGGAAATTTTGAAAGTACCCTCGCACAAACACGAAAACAGAAGGTAATTGTGACCTCGATCATATGTAAACTTTTAAGATATATGAACAGCAAAGGTGGTGAAATATGTGGAGAGAATCTTTTTAAAACTTCATAAAGCCGACTTTATTTTCCTAACATTTCCAAAATGTCACTCTCACCGCTCTTGAGGGATCCGCAGACCACGCAAAATTTTACTTTGCTGAAAAATTATTTAAATTAAGCACACTCACATATGTACTGTATACAGGGTGGTCTCCTGATATTTTCGAGACGTAGGTCAGCGTTGCCAGATTTTTTTTCGGGCAAAACAGGATTTTGAAATTTTTTGAGTAAAAAAAGCGGGATTTTGTAGAGAGAGAGAGGTATAGGAGGGTATTTGCTATCTCCCTCTAGTAGCACACGATTGGCTGCCGTCCTCTCCCCCCCTGACAACGACAGAACCAATCGCATGGTGCTAGAGAGAGATAATATATACCCTCTTATACCTCTCTCCCTCTACAACGTCCGCTACACTCTCAGCCACTGGGACGCTGCTTCCAGTAGTAAATACTCTAAGGGACATATTAAAAAATGTATATAATCAATAGTTTTTAACTACTTATCCTTTTATTTTAGTTTCAAATTAAGTTTACATGATGATAGATAGCCAAAACTGTCATAGAAAATGTATTTTAATAAAAAGACTCTACTATACTACTCATCGCCTCATCGAGTAATAACCGAAAAGCGGGACTGATCCTGTCCCGCGCAGGCTTTTAATTTTGGGGTAAAAATCGGGACGTCCCGCCAAAATCTGGCAATGCTGACGTAGATACACAAAATGTAAGGCTATTTTTTTATATAAACTTTTTATATATATATATATATATATACTCTTTTTTAAAGGGAGCTGATAAATATCATATATTTTAGGATATCTTAAAAGTCGTGTAAGATATACTATTTATATTTTATATTCACACTTCAGGTACCTTGACAATAATTTATACAGTATTAAAATTCTGAAAATTTTGGAAAAAATCAATTTTAACAATGAAATTTAGGAAAATAAACTATAAGTTCTGTATAAGCACGACCCCATTGAACGTTACACCCTGTATTATTCTCTCCTTTGGAAAAAAGTTTATATAAACGTGTACTCTTTATTTTTTGATGAATTATATTTCCTGAAAATAACGGGAGATAATTTAAGACCACCCTAAGGTAAAAAAACAAAATCAAATGGTAATTACAAACGATAATGTTAATCGTACCTGATACTGCTGTTCATTGTCGATCATACCAACGATCGCAACGATCTGGTACTGCCGTGCTTTCATCGCTGCTTCGCTCTTCCTTAGTAATCTCAGTGCTGCAGTGACGCTATTCGTATCGCCAAACTGCGCCATCTGTTGTGGAGAATGACTAGGATCAAGGACTAAAAGAACCAAGCTGCCGTCCCTGTGAACTTCTATACCCATTATTGTCCGACTATGACCTGAGAAACAAAAAAATAAAACCATTTTGATCCCGATCGATGTGCCTGCGAAAGCTACCTTGATGCTGCAGGTAAAGGGGCGCTGTGAATTCACCACCAACTGAGCTTTCAAAATATTTTAGAACCCAATTAAATAATTCCGGATGGGTACCGCCGGGCCCAGTGGGGCGATGGAAATCGACCAATTGACACTTTATTCGTAGATATGATAGTAGAGTTACAACTTCCGTCGCCCCTATCCACTTCCTTGTATTGACCAGCCTGCATCCCAACTGTTCAGATCCCTACAAAGTATTTTACTTACCACAAGAAAAAGAAATAAAAAAATGAAAAATTCTACTTTAAAAAATTATTTTCGTACAAATTTCTCTGTTTTACCTGAACATCAAAACCCTGTGCCCACGCTTGTTCAATGAGTCCTTGAATTCTCGATATGCTCGGTACCGAACTTCTCGGCGGCTTCTGACCCTGCCACAACTTATAAAGTCTCTCGTTATACCCAGTATGTGTCAACAAGCTAGAAAACAACATCTGAGTGTTCCTGTAACCGCATCCCCATCCCCTGTCTCCATAAGAAGAAGCATAATGGTCGACGCAAGTGCAGAGCAGCGTTCTTACAACATTTGTAGCGTTATTACTCATCGCTCTAACTCGGGGAACCTAAAAATGAATCAACAATCCTCAATTTTATTAAAAGTAAATACATTTACTCACAATGCTTCTAGTAACCGAGCTCCCGTCGTCGATACCACAGCTTTCGGCAGCTCTTAGGTCCAAAGTCCGTTCATAATAATCAGCGACGCTCATTTCTCCTGCGTAGACAGCACGCTGCATATTAGTTACAGACTGTTCTCTGAAGTTACCCTGGTTGTCCATGCCGTACTGAGCACGCAGCAATTCGAATTCTCTTTGTTCGCGTTCGCGGAGAGCTGCTTTTTCCGCCGGCTGAGGCGAACCAGCGGGAAAGTGAGATTCTACATGTCTAATAGCTGCTTCGCTCTAAAAAAAAGAAATCGAGAAAAGTTTGTTAAATTACTGTGTAAAATATTTGCTTAAAAAAATTTCTTACGTTACAGTCACTGTCGATAGTAATACCGCAGACAGGACACGCATGAGTTGAAGGACTAGCCGGCGACAGGATGTCACGATGTTCGATATTGACATGAAGCTCCAGATCTGGTGCAGATTTGAAAGAATTAACACATAATGGGCAAGAGAATATCTCTTCCGTAGTTCCTCCCAACGACGGAGACGTCAGGTCAAAATGACTCCTAAAATAGAATAATTAAAAACCTAATAGCAAAATAAAGAACAATGTGTTATACATTATTTGCTAAAAATAAAAAAGGAACACAATTTTTAGAGATAATTATATATTTACATGTATTTTAAGTATTTTAATACACAAAAAATATTTAAGTAACAGAAAATTAACAACACAGCTAAAAATAACAACTAAATTAAAGTAAAATATACTTTCATATCAATGCACAGTGAAGTTTATTAAATAAATACCTGTTTACATGTTCTTCCAATTCATTAGGACTCAAGCTAGTATAGTTACACATAGGACATTGTAATTTGGGGGCAGAACTTTTCAATTTCAGAGCTAAATTAGAACGTAGCGGTGATCCCTGACCATGGCTGGAATTTTTTGGACTTGCTTCTCCACCCCCATTTATCTGAAAACAAATTTTATTATACATCACACTTTTACACAGCTAAGGTGAACTATCTGAGTATAAAAAAAAATCAAACAACTTAAATTTTAAGAAAATCGTTAGTACATTTACCTTTGGATTTAAATTTATGTTATTTATATTACTTTTAACTTCCCTAGGATTATTTTGATTATTACTAGAGTAAGACGGAAAGTTCCAATTATTTTCACCATTTAGCCCATTACATTCACTGCAAGAAAATATTTGTACATACATTGCTTAACGTTTTAATTCTAAAATTTCAATATTACTGTTGAATACAAGCACTAGATACTTCCCACAAAAAAATCAATATCAAAAATAAAACTCAATGCTTTTAAGTTATATGTGACAAAATATTATTACCTCGGACTAGGATCATCGATGAAGCTTATGTTCTGTTCAGACTCGGGAGTTAAAAAGTCTAAATGGGCCTGATTCACGTGTAAAATGAGTTCGGCTGGAGAAACAGCTGACAATTCACAGAAAGGGCACACAGCATTACCATCCACATGAGCAGTATGAGTATGGGTTCTAAATTCATCTTCACTAAGGCCTTCTAAACCACAAATTTCACAACAATAACTAAATCCTTGTATATTACTAGCCATATCCTAAAATTGTATTTTAGGTTAGAAAGGTGATAGGTCAATAAGACAGGTTTTTGTAGTTTAATAATTGAAATAAAACATAGTTCGATTTGAATATAACGATGAATTATTGATACACTTACTTATTTAGTATTTTTGTTGATGCAGAAAAACTGAACTTTTTAAATACATTTGATTATTTGACAGTTTCTGTGACCTAATTTTCGGCAACCCGCATAGCAAATCTGCATAACGAATTGCCTATTTTTGTGAACGGAAATTCATTTTTCCAGTAGCGATAGCGAATCGGCAATCGCTCCACTCGTAGTAATTCATAAAAGTTTTGTTTGACAAATATGTTACGATGACCTTTCTCACCTCTGCTAGTTAAACTGTCCAAGAACTGTGAAGATAGTTCATATTTTACACAAGTCGGTTGTATTTTACCGTTTGACAGTGATAGATTCCATTTTCATTGGAAAAATATGTCTAATAAGGAAACGAAAACTATTCCAAATGGCCTTAAATTTGCTTTTGGTGGTTCGGCAGGGTAAGATTTGCACACCTTGTCCCTTTTAAATCATATGTTTGCAAGATGAAGGCGGTAAATTTAAATATTCCTTTTCAGGATGCTGGCCACGATGTTTGTACAACCTTTAGATTTAATAAAAAATAGAATGCAATTAAGTAAAACCAAAGAATATAAAACGTCTTTTCATGCTTTCCAAGGCATTGTGGCTAAAGAAGGATTTTTTGCGTTATACAATGGAATCTCGGCAGGTCTCCTTAGACAAGCTACGTACACCACTACCCGATTAGGTATATACACCTGGCTCTTCGATCAGATGAAATCGCCTGATGGTAAACCACCTGGATTTTTCGCAAAAGCTGCAATCGGTATGGCTTCTGGTGTATGCGGAGCTTTTGTTGGTACGTTCCAGTTATTTAAACGTTTTCTCTTAATATAAAATGTTATACATATACCATTGCACATACTCATTATTTATTATTTTTGACCTTCAATATTAAACCTAAGTTTAATAGTAACTCTGTCATTTTTTTTTGTTATCTTTTCAGTTTAATTGAATATACATATTTAAATATTCTTTTCCAGCTACCAATATTTTATGTCAATGTTTTTATAAAAATAAATTACTTTGTAGACTAGGCAGAGACCAAATACATGTTATATAACTTCATTATTGCCTGCCTCCGAAAAACATATTTCAAGCTAGTTACTAATACCTTGTGACTTCTAAAATTAAATTTAAAAAACTCGTAAAATAATCAGTTCCATTAAAAAATATGCTGAACTGTTGACTCCGGTTAAGTAATACCTATTCTTGGCCATGTTCCAATTTTTATAAAAGTTTGTTTTCCGGACAATACAAACAAAAATGTTTTACAAATGCGTATAGAAGTATATCTGTTTTGTTACTTATGATTTTATCATATCATATCTAATAAAACAAATCAGATAGGTATATTTTTTCATATTTTGAAAAGCAACATATTGAATCGTAAGATAAAATTATATAATAACATTTGTGAGATTTTATCTATTTTATTTTATATCCCTCTATAAATTATTCACATTCTCACATCATTATTTGTTACATTAATGAGAAAATTTTAAAATAATTACTTAGTTTTTTAAATTGAACCTTGAACCAAATATGAACCTATTAGCATACATTTTTTATAATTTTATCATTTTTTTTCTTCCAGTTAGGTGGATATTTTGAGATTTAAAATTCTATTTTTATGTAACGTTTTTTATTTAAATCCAGTCCTTAACAAAAAATACCTTCCACCTTCTGTTTCCTTTTTTTTAATGTGATGAGGAAATTACACTGATTTCTGATTGATTGCACAAATCAAACATATTTTTTATCTAGGTACCCCCGCCGAGGTAGCGCTGATTCGAATGACCGCCGATGGTCGTTTACCACCGAACGAACGGAGAAACTACAAACACGTGCTCGACGCTTTAATGAGAATTTACAAGGAGGAAGGACTATTAACGCTTTGGAGAGGCGCCATACCCACCATGGGTAGAGCTATGGTTGTCAATGCTGCACAGTTGGCTAGTTATTCGCAAGCCAAACAAATTTTGGTGGAAAATTTGAACCTTAACGAAGGAATATTCCTTCACTTCATTGCATCCATGATATCCGGGCTTATCACCACTGCTGCGTCCATGCCCGTCGATATTGCCAAAACCAGGTAAGTCAGAACTTAAATATTTTTTTAAAATAAATGTTTTTTTTTAATTTTATGGGATTTGCTCTAAATAAATCTTTTAAGGTTTTAATACTCCTCAAATTCCTGATATAACTTATCTATATTCAGTTATGTAAGTATGGATTAATAATAAATTGTTTATCATTTTAAAAATATCAGCGTTATTTGTTTCATTCTGAGTAAAATAATGTGATTATTCTCACAAAAAAGGAATGTTTAAGCTGTTGTTAAGAAATATCCAGATTCTGGATAGACAAACATGATTTTGCCATGCTTGGATACATTATCTTAATGAAATAATGTTATGAAATCTATGAAATTAAGTCGCCTAAAAAAATTAATTTGTGTCAGATTATTCCTCATGATAATTTCTGAATTAACGTTCATGTTTACCGTTTGAAATCAGTAATGTGTTACTAAATGTTATTTTCATAAAATAATAATGTAATTGTAAGCATTTATTACCTCATTGTTTAATCACTAGTCAGTAAAAAATAAACTTCATAAAAATTAATGAAATGTACATACTCAAATATGCAAATTTGGTTCTTATTGTTGCACAAGTAAAAGGTGAAACTGTTTATTCTTATTCTATTAATAAGGACTGTCCTTCTTTAACATGATTTTTTTTGTTTATTTGGGTTGTTGCCACTTGTGGAAAAATTAAAAATGAATTGAACAAAACAAATCTCAAAAAATACCATACTAAAAAAGCAGATATAACGTCACTATATTACCTCACTTTGATATTAATTTGTGTTTCCAAAATTGATCTATTTTCGTTTTAAAAACTGATGTTCTTTTTATATTTTGATAACCGAAATAAATTAATTTTTAAGATTTAAACTATTTTAAAATGAATGTTATGGTTGGTTTATAAAAAAGTATTAGTCCTAACTTAGCCGTAACTTAACCTTAATCTTAGCCCTAAAAAGTTAAATGTACAGAATGTAATGTATCGGTTTATAAAAATCTTAACCTTTACCTAGTTCTATACATTACATTTTGTACATTTAAATTTTTAAGATTAAGGTTAAGTTAAGGCTAAGTTAGGACTAATACTTTTTTATGAACCAATCAATACTTTTATATAAACCAACCCTAGATTAGTGTGTGGCTCAGATATAACCTGTAAAATATGACATATTCTTATGTCATTGCTACTCAACGCCTACTGGTACAAAGCATTACATTGTATCTACTGGCACAAAATGAAATGACCTACTAACAAGTATAGTCGGCCTTTTTCAACGTGAAATACCGGATAGAATTTTTTAACTTTTTTCACAAGTGAATAGAAAAACCCAAAATTACGCTACAAATAAATAACTTCAGACAATGTCTTCTTTTATAGGATCCAGAATATGAAAACGATAAACGGAAAACCGGAATATTCGGGACCAATCCACGTCTTAGCGTCCGTCGTCAAAAACGAGGGCTTGTTTGCCTTATGGAAAGGGTTCGCTCCATATTACTTCCGCCTGGGGCCCCACACAGTTCTCACCTTTATTTTCTTGGAACAGATGAATGCAGCATACTACCAATATGTTCTTGGCGAAAAAGGGAAGGGTGGGCTTTAAATTAATTTTTATACCTATGTACAGTCGATCGTTTGATGGTGAGATGCAACCATATGCAATGCCAAATAGTTAATCATTTAATATTTTTAGCGCGATACATAAATATTTTCCTTATTATTTTCTGCTAAAAGTGTCTGGGGCTAGCAAGAAATTTTGTCATTTTTAGAAACTCCTATTTTGTCAATTTTCAATTATTTTTCTACACTTTATTATACACCCCTGCTATTTTACTTAATTCAAAGATATACTTCAAGTGAATTTCTTTAATATTAGTGAGAAATCCTCACGAATATGAATTATTTTTAGAACAATTTTACAAGTTATATACTTTTAAATTGTTGGTACAATTTAATGGTACGTTTTTATTACAATGTTTTTCATACTTGTACATATTTTATTTTTTATTAATTGCTGTTATGTGTTATTTCGATGTATATGATTGAATTGTAATAATCATCTTATACTGTGATAAACATGATAAATCTTCAGTGTACATAGGAATTTGTAAGGTATTATAATGAACTTTTTTCGTTTTTGAAAATGATATGTATACACTAAGAGAACATTGAGGAATATTTATAATACCAATTTGAAGAATCATTGTATATTTCCTCCTTGAAAAGTAATAAAAGTTTTGTTTTCTAATTTGTAGTTTTTTTTTTAAATTTATATTCAAAGCAGATAACGAAAATATTAAGAAGGAAATGCTACAAACTTGGAACGGCACGAAAAACGAATGTTCCTACCGAGAATTGGTAACTTATGAGACAGTTTAGGAGTTCAACTTTTGTTCTAATATATACAGGGTGTTTTAGTTATAGTTTTCCTTTTAACATAATGTAGAACTCAAAAAGTACAAACATTTTTTCAAATAAAATTTTTAAAAACTCGGAAATTACAAAAATAAAAATGTTGTAGGCAGGTCGGAGCCTGCCCAGGCCCGGTCTGGCCAGGTCGGGAAGTCGGCAAACCCCGACTTATTTTGGAAGATAGGCCCCCAAACAACTAACGAGGCGCCAAAAGTATAAGAAATTTTTTTGTAAATTCTTGAGATATAGCCACCGTAAATTGAAAAGAAAAAAGAAGAATGTAAAAATAAAAATTGAATCTTTTGTAGAAACGGGATTTTTCCAGGTCAAAAAAATAACACAAATTTTATTAATTTGCCCTATACCCTTATAAATAGTGTACCTACAGGAAAGAAAGAGAGAAATAAATATATATTCCAAACCGTAAGCCCTCTACACTAATAAGTCCTTTATCTATAAGCCGTGTGCCGGGAGGAAAAACGAGAGAATTCGAAATTTAATATAACTTTCTTTAAGCCAAAAAAAGATTCGGTGTGTAGTGCCCATAAGAATACAGATTCCGAGAAGAGAACAAAAAAAATGATTATAATAATCATAATTTAAAGAAAATCGCGGTTCGAAATCTGAAAGACATTGATAAAGAATTTTCGAAAACTGATAAATCTCTAATAACAGCATGCTTTAATTTGCAGAAGGTGTTAGTAACGCCCAAGTCAGAAGTCAGCGATTTTTATTAAAGTGAAATCGCAACATACAACTTTACAACTTATGATTTATCGAACCCGTATCAAAATATCGAAAAAGAACCGGATGAAATTGGAAGTTGTTTATAGATTTTTTAAAAAGTGTTAAAGAAAATGGCATACGAAAGGTTATTCTTTATTCCGACAATTGCGGTGGTCAAAACCGTAATCGTTTTGTTTTTGCGATGTTTGCTGATTCATCAATGACTTTGGATTTGGAAATAACACACTGTTTTCTTGAAATTGGCCACATGCAGAATGAAAATGACAGCATCCATGCTGTAATTGAAGTTGTAAAAATACGTCACTCTGCTATATACACTTCTGATCAGTGGATTATCTAATAAAAATGGCCAAAGTTACTGACCCACAGTACAAAGTAAAAGAAATGTCACAAGAAGATTTTGTAACTTTTAAACCAATGGTAAAGAAACAAAACTGGAAAAAATATATTAGTGGAGGCTGTAAAAATCAGCAAAATCCGAGAAATCCTTGCAATCCAAAGTCTCCCAATAAAGTATTTTTTGTGTATAATTTTGGAGAAAGTCATAAAGAACTAGACTTACAAACAAAAAACACACGCAAACGCGAAGAATATCAATTTCCAAAATTGTATCAAGGTTTGCTGCCAATTGATGGTAAAAAATTTAGCGGTCTTTTAGGTCTTTTTGTTTTATGTCATTATTGATTAACAAATATTTTTTATCTAAAAATAGAAAATGTTTAATTTTTCTGTACCTTATTAGTGTAGCAAGTTGTTTCTCAATAAAAAACTTTGTCGACGAAAACTGTAGTAACTCATTCAAAATCTATTTTTTTTCTTATCCTAAACTATTTTATTTAGATCATCAATAATAATAATTAATTAAGACCTTAATAATAATTACTTTGTTAAAGAAGAACGATTTAGCTCTTGTAATAAAAAAAAATAACAAACATTATTATTTTCTCAACTATTCAAATGCAATTGTATGTCAGTATAACCAAATTTGGGATACGACAGTTTTCCTTGGGAGAGTCGATATGCACCCTAATAACAATAATAAATCAAATAGGCCTCGAATTCCGTTTTTCTCGACGGCCCCTGAAAGAGCCAGACCGGGCCTGAGCCTGCCTAAAGATGTTCGAATTTATCACCACCACTTTTATTTCCACTCATGCTTTTAGGGTAAAAATTTTTCCTGAATAATTTCTATTTCGTTTTTTACATTCTCAAAATTTCTCCATTGTTCTCACTTTAGTTTCATGCACCAATTTTTTCATGTAACCACGTGCATTACAGTGATATGGTGTGATATTTCCACATGCCATTCATTATTTAGATAATCTTACTTTTTACGTCTCAAATAAAGTGGATAGTCGAGATACCTGTTTTAGAAATTATTTATTCCATTGTTAATGGAACAAATTTGGTGAAATTTACATACCTCATGCACGTTTCACTATAAAAGACATTAAAAAAACTGATTTGTATGAATATCCTGAAAAAAATTAGATCAGAATTTGTTTGAATGTTGAGCACTCAAGAAACCTAGAAATAACTATAGGCACGGGATTAAAATTAATAATGTTTTATTGTAATGTGTGATGCTAATAGTTTAAATAACTAGGTGGATTTCATCCGGTCCAACGACACTTAGAGTGTACTATAATTCAATAAACATAGAAATCCAAATAAAAAATTTAGATGAACTTGGAATGATAACATTGAAGACGGATTTTTTGAGACAAAACGTCTGAATCTGGTTTGGGCTGAGGCAGGTATTGAGAGTCATGAAGGCTTGCAACAAATGTAATGAAAGGATCCCGCACAAAATGAATGGAAATTGGGTCCCGCTAGATTTGGCTAAAATTGTAATATGTTATAGTTCTCGACATTCTGATGAAAAGTTGTCACGGGCCCAAAGTGATCCTATGGATAGTTTCAGAGATACAGAGGGGGGAAGTGTGTGATTTTGGCTGTAGGACTGAGTAAGCTTCACGAACTTTCAAGTTGATGCATTCAAAAACTGAGGCATGTAATGAATTTTGACAAGTAGGTACAATGCTTTTGGGATCACTGGATCTGAATTCTGCCAGCGGGGCTTGAATTGAGATAAGTCAAATGAAATGACCTTGACTTGATTTCCAGGTGACCTTATAAGGGTAAGCTATTCGCGAAATCAGGTTCAGCGACCTCAAAAGCATACATACTTATAGGTAAACATTCATGAAAGGCATTTTCTGTACTTTGACCTTGAAATGATCTTGACTTGACCTAAATGTGACCTTGTAGGGCTAGCTATCCCCAAATTCAGTTCCTCCCCCAAAAAAAAAACTTATATACGCACTGGTTGAAATTCAGTACAAGCCTTTGCTTTAGTTTCATCTTGAAATGACCTTGAATTGACTTGAAGGTGACCTTTAGAGTTACGCTATCCAGATTCACATTCTTCGAGCCCAAAAATCTATACACTCACTAGTCAAAATTCAATACAAGTCTTTTCTTCAGTTTGACCTTGAAACGACCATTACCTGACCTCCAGGTGACCTTAGATAGCTAAGCTATCCAAGAATTCAGGTTCAGTGATTCCAAAAGCATTGTACCTACTGGTCAAAATTCATTACATGCCTCAGTTTTTGAATCCATCAACTTGAAACTTCATGAAGCTTACTCAGTCCTACAGCTAAAATCATCTATTGGGACCCAATTTCCATTCATTTTGTGCGGGGTCCTTTCCAGGTCCGTATTTAAAAAAATTAAGTGGATGATCGATGGTGCTGGAAAGATAAAACATTACATATAAAAATTGACTATGCCATTCGACAGAGGGCAAAAAGTTGCCTTTTTCCAATATCAGGTTGAAATGAAACAAAAACGTATTTCCAAAGTTTCAGTTTTTTTCAAATATTTCGAAAACTAATCACATTATCCTTGATTTTTTAGAGGCATAATGTTGATTTCAAAATTACGCAACTTTGCTCACATTTAAGCTAGTTCGTATCTCTTACCGCTTCCGAGATCCCTGTAGTGAGAAGCAAATCTGTAACAGCCTGTATATTCAAATTATTTCATGGCTTTTCCATTATTTTTTAAATTTGGAAAAAATGTTATTTAAGAAAATTACTAGAGTTCTGTCTGGTAAATAGGAAAAGTTAGAAAATACCCTGTATATACGTATTTAAAAATATTATGGGATGAAGTTATTACAAATAGTGGTATCTTATTAAGTTTCTGATAATTTTCAGCTATTAGTGAAGGAGCGATTAATTACTAAGTTACTTAAAAAAAACTGTAACAAAACATCAATATATTTATTATTTTAAATACACTATTACACGAGAACTATTATTGATCACAGTAAAGAGCTGAGACAATGCTTTTAAAAAAAATATTAGTGTGAAATAGTCATACATTGAAATATTCTTACAACTTATTTTACTAATTAAATAAACAAATATAGAAATAGAAATTGTGATATTCCACTTAACATAAATAAGAAATAAATATTGATTATGGTAACTGACTAATACAGTGTAATAAATATACCTATTACAATATTTAGAAAATATTAAAAAGTACATAAACCGTTTCACGTCTATTTCTATTAAAAGATTTCTAAAGTAAGAAACTGTTTTTCCAGGAGCCAATGAAAAATTTTATGTTACTGATTATGTAATTCTGTTACATTTGTCAAAAATTGTAATTTCGTGAATAACTCCCGCACCCTTCATCCTTTAAAACCATCAAATCTCAATAATTTACATTCCACATAAAATAAATCTGTTAAAATCTTCTAAAAACATTTAAACGCCTGACGATAACATTAATCATTCTTGTAAAGACAGGCGTCTTTAAAATTTGATACATTCAGTGAACTAAAGTAATCGTCATGCAAAAATCTTACGATATCTTCAATCTTGCACAAGTTAGTTTTAGCGTCCACACTGACGAAGTTTTTACAAAAACTAATTTGTTTCGTAACATCTTTCCCGTTGGAAAGCAACCTGAAATAAATTCCTTTGGCATTGTTGGATTCGCGGTTATCCTGATACACTTCGAATATAATTCGAGCTGCGTATCTTAACAGAAATGGATCGTTATGCAGCCCTAGCGCTGTGGCGAGCTGTTCAAGCGTGTGGTCATGTCCAGAGTACAACACTAAGTAAGGACCGTTATTAGATACCATATGTAACATTTGCTGGACGATATGCCGTATCAGTCCATATGATTTCAATAAACAGTATCTTTTCCAATAGGTATTCCTCCACTTTTGATAGTTTACCCAGTCGGTGTAAGCAAAAATACCGACAACATTTTGTCTCCTGTAAATGAATCGAAGATTAAAAGATGAGAAACTAAAAATAACAAACAAATCTTACTTTATACAATTTAAAGGTGATTCACATGGTAGACCACTCTTGTGGCAAACGAAACTTAAAAGTGCATCCCTGACAGCGTGAGGATCGCTACCTAGTGGACCCTGTTCGGCGTTAGTTGAAAATAAAGATTTTCCAGTTGTATCGGCAAGGTTCGCTACAGCTGGATGTGATCTAAGTTGATGAGATATATTTTTCCTTACATATCTAAAATTTCATGTTCCCTTAATTATAATTCAAGTAAATTTAAATTATCGATAAATTACTTTGATAGTTTTTCTGTTACGGGACATCCGCAATCCTTGAAACAAAAGCTCATACTCTGACTTTCATAAATATTAATTCTTGTTAATGTATCATGAGGGATTAGTCCATATAAAAAAGCCAGAGCTGATTGGAACGTCCTTCTGTACCTTGTACTGTATATTATGAGTTCGTAAGGGCTCAAAACCCTCAGTTTGGGCCATACTTTGTGATACGTCTGGCTAAGTAAATGGCCTAACTTTAGCAATTGGGTTATACCTTGAATAAAATATTATACGATAAGTTTACTAGTAACTAATGAAGCAAAATATTTAAAAAAAATTGAGAACATGTTTTTTTTTACCTTGCATAGTGAGCTGACCCAACTGACACAACTTTGAATGAGTTGGGAGGAATGGAAAACCATGAAACGGTCCTGGACCTACCCATGATACTTTCCCAGAAAGTGTTTGATTGTTTACATAATCCTTAAAAATATTTTATAATATACAGGGTGTTACAAAAAAGTAGGTAAATTCATTGCCCACAGAATTAAGGGCGAAATTTTTCATACTCTTTTTCAAGATACAGTGTGGCTATATTTTAATTTAAAAACAATTACTTATGTAGGTGAACACAATAAGATGAGAAAGTCGTAAAAATTAATGTGTTGGCCAACGCACATATAAAATTTTTTCATCGACTAATAATTTTATTTCACTTTGTTAATTATTAACTTTGACTTAGATCATGTTTTAGATGCTCTGTTATTTTACGTTTCAGGGTAAATATTTCACATCCACTTTTATTTCACGGCCACTGATTCGTTTTGTCACATTATAGCGAATGTGAAGTAATTGAGTCATAAAATATTTGTAGATATACCTAAAATAGTATAATTTAAAAAATTACATTTTTTTCTAAAGAATTGAGTTCGTAAAACTATTTTATAATGAGATGGATGGAATAACGACTGTTAATTTTTAATATAGGCTTAAATATATAACCGTTTACCTTATTCAGTAAATTTTTTGTACTTTCGATAAAAAAAAATCGAAGAGTGAGCAGTATAAAGGGGTGTTGTAGTTTGGCCCTCTTACTAATTTTTGTACATAGTTATGCTTCAAATGTAATGTTCAGCAGCTTTTATCATTTTTATTCTGATTTGATAATTTTTTTAATCGGTGCACCTTGAAAAAATTGCCTATCTGCAAAACGATGCAATGAGATATCTATTATTTTCTCCCAATGGTTAAAAGCTTCACTTACTCTTTTGAAAAACCCTGTATATACTAATATGACTGCAATTTGGTAAATTTTGTATAAATTGGATAAGGTCCACTAAAAAAACCTGCATTAAATCTATATTTAAATGCACACTTCTTTAAATAAAATGTGTATGCCAACGAAATACATTCATAATCCGAAAATAACTTTTACATTTTAAATATAGACTGGTATGCTTATATGAATGTGGAATAAAAAATTACAACAGGTTTGTCGGGTTTATCAAATAAATTAACATCAAAACAAAATTGTACCTTGTATGAGGTCAACAGTTCTGAGTTGTCAGTTCCACAGTTAATAGAGGATATTTTTTTTACATGTTGTAACGGTCCTCTATCACCATGCCTAATTAAAATCAACAGTCCACTCAGTACCCATTTGTCTGTTTGCAGTATCCCTGTAAAGTAATTGTTTAAATATTTCTTATTTAGCACAAAACATGTACGTTGTTTAGCTAAAAATAGAAGCTAGATAAAAGTACCGTAAATAATAATAGTTACGAAATTACTGCTAAATATAGGTACATATTTTTTAAATGATACGATGTACCGGGATTGTAAACAATTTGAGTTATAAACGAAATAAAGAATAAGTAGAAATCTATTGTTATAGAATATAATTTAAAATATCTTCTTTCTTCTTCTGAATATAATTTTTCAATTCATAAATCCATGAATTCTTTACATTTATTTTAAATTTTAAAAAATAGGAACTTGGACTGTTATAATAAAATGTTGTGTTGTGTTATTTGCAACTTAATATAAATACAGGATGTTAACATTTTCATAACTACCTTCTTCCCCTGTCTCAAGTTCATCAGGAAAATTACATATTTTGAAAATTCTCTTGGTTTTGATATCCACCGACAAGCCACTGTACAATTCGGTGGCCACCGTAGGAGAATCAAGAAATTTCTGCTTTGGCTCTAGAAATTTATAAATCCCAACAATTAAGAGCAAGATCCATACACTCATCAACAGATAACAATGGATAGCCTTATTTTGAGGCATTCGTAACAAATTAAAGATCATCTATTTATTAATCCAGGTGGTTTGTTTTCATCATAATCGTAAGTCACTTCCTATTCAGGCGATTTCACATATTTATTGAGTTATATTAATTATAACCATACTTTATGAGAAGGGAGTAATTAAAAATGAGATGGGACGTCTATATAATTCATTGTAATCTAATCAGACTTCATTTCCAAGTTGAGATAATCTATTAATAATTAGTAAAAAAAAAGATATACTTGTTTACATATCCCAGAAGGCAAAACACAATTTTGGCAACACAACACAACTACTACCTCTTCCTCTTCTACAAATAAAATTTGTCAGATCGCAACCCAAAGAACAGGGACGGAGGGAGGTAAGTCCTTTGAAATTATAAATTTAATCTAAATTTATCTAAATTAAAAGTATTATTATTTCAACAAAATAATTGCTGTCTATGTGTGTTCTGAGCTTCCGAGTTCTGAAGCTACATCTATGTTATATAAAGAAGCAAAAAGAAAACAGATCATAAATCCGCTCGTGTAAGGATGCCATAAAGAAGTTGATATTATCAGCGTGGTTTAATTAATAACTAAATTAATTTTGTCTAGAAATAAGTCCTCTCTATTTTTTTTCTGGGGACATATTAAATAATCGGTTTATAGTTTTATAGGACGCCAACTACCGATTTTGATCTAGTACACAATCGTATTATCCCATCTTATGGGACAATTCTACAAACTTCGGGAATCTATGAACGTGAGTAATTTTTGAGTAAATTGCAAAAAAGGGAACTTAATTTATTTTTTTAGTAAAAAAGGGAATATTTTAATGAAAAAATGCAAGAGATAGAAAACTTCCTAAGTGCATGAGCCAAGATTTTAAATGGTATTTTTTACATTGCAAATTTTCAACCCCGTATAAATAAGATGAAAAAAAACACGAAGGATTACAATTCCCCACCTCTTTTTAGTATGACGATGAGGCTTTTGATAAGTTAAAGTAATTTTCTATTAAATTGCATTCTTTTATGTTTCTCAACTGTGTGAAATAAAATACAAACCGAAATGTAAGTGGTCTCTCTAAAGCAGTCTCTTTAAAAGGGTGTAATTCCGATGGTACACGACTTTACGAAAAGACCTGCCTTAATTTTTAGCAAAAAGTAGCTCATTAAAATTTGTCGCAAAACATTCCGTATACAATTCAAAAATTGCCAAAAACAGGTTTTAGCGCGATCAAATTTATCAATTATAGTAATTAATCATAATTTAAATAACACAGAAACAAATACGTTATTCTGTAATTTATTAAAAACAAAAACATGTATACATCCGATATAATGGTAAAATAAATCCTGAATCCAACCCTGACATTATTGTTGCTCAAAGCAAAGCGCAAACTCTTGCCGGGCAATCGACGATGGGCGGATCGTTCTTGCCTTTTGCTTCATTATTTCTGTTCTGTCGACGTTTGTCTATCGTTGTAAGTTGCCTGTGGTCGTACTTGTTATGATTCAAATGGATTGTTTCGCATGCCTTAAAACAGTACATTAAGTTTAAATTACGTATAAAATTATCAGAATTAAACTGTTTCCGATATAACACAAGTTAAATAATAAATGGAAAACGAAAACTTAAAAGTGCGTATTAAATGGCAGCTGTAACGTACTCGAGAATTTCTCGATATCCCTACTAGAGCTTTAAATTGTGTGATCGCGATTTATTATAATACAGTGGTGTTCAATAATTAAGTTATGATTTTACTTTAAACCAAGTGCAAATATTTCGAAATTAGGGCAAATATACCGGGTAAACAACACCACGTGATCGAAGCATGGTACAAGTTTGAGGGGGGAGATCACAAGCTAAATTCACCTTTATTGTCAAAATATTCAAGAAATCATGTCCAGTGGTTGTTCAGTGAGTTACGAGGATATGGTCACGTAGACGTTCAAATTGTAAGACAAAATAATTGTAAACTTCCCCAAAATGAACAAATCTGAACCCCTGTTACGGTGGTAGTACACCCACCGAAAATGCGTGTTATTTAAATCCGTTGACATCAACAATTTGCCGATCAAGTACAGTGAAAACCAATGTCAAGAACACTGTAGATAGATGACTATAGACTGATTTTTATAAAAATTTCTGTGAAATTAGATATGAGTCAAAGTCAGCGGGATACTGTTATCCACCTGGTTGCTGGGGGGTATGTACTTTTTATTTGCCTATTTATATTCACCTTTAACCTTAAATTTTCGAATAATTATGTAATAATTAAACCGTAAGCTGGCGAAAACCTTCCGGTATACACATAAACACATAACTTGGCGCCTGATAATTACATTTGTCAACTTGCACTCTATAAATAACCCGCGACTTAGATTTTTTTTTGTGTAAATTTGATTGACATTAAGCTTAATTTGACAATATTTAATCAGCTGTTTTAATCCATAAGTTTCTAGATTAGATGCTTCCTTCTGTTTACGCATTATTTTGCATGATTGAGGAATAGTTATTTGTTATTGATATAATTGTTTGTATTATTGTATTCAGTGATATACAAGCTATTTATAGGAAATATGTGCATATAAATCTTCGATCATATACAAATATTGCATAATTTTTCTACACGCTTTGTGAATGTGATACCACTTATCTAGTCGAGTAATAATTACGTTATATATATAAATCATTGAGACGATGTACTGGGTAAAATTAAAGTTGTTTACATTTCGGAGTTGTTTACTTATATGCATAAAACGGTAAATTATTTACAAGCACGCACAGTAATAATAAAATTACAATACCTATTTTTATCCTTAATAAATTTTATCATTGCCACTGGCAATCAGTTTGAGTGTATTTAACATTGATTATTGTACAGTCAAAGATATATTTTTAAATGAATCCCACAATTTTACGAAAGCATGGAAAATTTTATTTTCGTGGAGAAATTCTAATAATACATGTCTCAGTACGAAAAACTCACTCCGGAAAAATAAGCGAATAATAGTCGCTTCTTAAATAATTTTTTTGGCATCAGGCTTTGCAAATTATAAAATCATGTAGTAACTCATCTATTAACTGTCCTTAAATCTGATTTTTTTGTCTTGTGGGGTGGGGTTGTGAGTAATTTTGAATGTGTTTTTAATACACCGCAACAAGATTTCAAGTTCAATTTCGAATAGAGTTTAGTTTCATACGCTTTAGGTACTAATGAGTCGACAGTAGTACATTTTCCAGTCATACTAAAACCTTATAGAAATTAAAACTATATTCACGTATACAGGGTGTCTCATAATTAGCTACCAACCCTGAATAGGCCGATTCTATGATCAAAACTAAGTAATAAAGTTCATCTGAACATGGGTCCGGAAATGCTTCCTAAGGGCACAGGGACCCATTGAAGAGGGAGGAATGGAAATCATTTTTTTGCCAATATCTCTCAATCGCGTTGTGATAAATGAATGAAATTTGGTATACACAGCTAAATTTTGATGAGCAATTTGATGGACTAATCCATTTATTTCCACAAGGTCCATTGGGGTGGGTACGGGGGGGCCCTTGGTACTTTGCGTGTGTAACTTTTTCATCTTTGACTTTTTAACAAATTGGACAGCAAATTCCGTTTTCCCGAACTGTTTTACGTTAAAAAGGTACTCTTGTTTCAAATCGTTATCTTTAACGGTTTCTGAGAAAATCGCTCTTGAATTAATCCCACTTTGGTCAATTTCATAGTAATTTAAACAAAAAATAATAATAATAATTTTCCTTTCCTCTCTTTTCCATTTAAAGGATTAATTTTTATTTAATTTAATTTTTTATTATTATTTTTTTATTAAAACTAGATTAAATTGAAACAAAATATTTTTTTTTGTTTAAATTACTATGAAATTGACCAAAGTGGGATTAATTCAAGAGCGATTTTCTCAGAAACCGTTAAAGATAACGATTTGAAACAAGAGTACCTTTTTAACGTAAAACAGTTCGGGAAAACGGAATTTGCTGTCCAATTTGTTAAAAAGTCAAAGATGAAAAAGTTACACACGCAAAGTACCAAGGGCCCCCCCGTACCCACCCCAATGGACCTTGTGGAAATAAATGGATTAGTCCATCAAATTGCTCATCAAAATTTAGCTGTGTATACCAAATTTCATTCATTTATCACAACGCGATTGAGAGATATTGCAAAAAAAAATGATTTCCATTCCTCCCTCTTCAATGGGTCCCTGTGCCCTTAGGAAGCATTTCCGGACCCATGTTCATATGAACTTTTTTACTTAGTTTTGATCATAGAATCGGCCTGTTCAGGGTTGGCAGCTAATTATGAGACACCCTGTATAGGTAATTTTCCGAAGACTACATTTTTCTACACGACCGTGAAGGTCGTGCATGATTAAATTATAATTGTTGCCTAATGGAACGCATTTTGCGCAATAAAAAAAATGTTTACACTCGTCACCCTTTTCCATATTTTTAAATATTGAAACTGTTTGGTAGGCTATAACCTTGCAGAGAACATTGCGCCAATTTGGTTCAATTGAATGAGCTAAACAATAGTTTAAATAATTTACACGCTGATACTCTCTAGAAACCTAAAACCCGTGGTTGAATTCTCCCCTATTGCAGATTAATTATTGAAATATCAGAAATATTTATTGTCTGTCCTCAATCTATTTCGATGACTTTATTTTTTTTAATTTACTGATGTTTTCACATTTAAAAAAAATAATGTTATATAGTTATTACCTGAAAAAATTAATGGAACCAAAATATTTCATACATTTTTTAGTGATTTTTGAAAGGCTGTAATGTTATTTTTTCGCACTTTATTTCAAATTAATATCTGAGATGAAAAAAAAAGCTTCAAAAACCACGATTATGTAAATACCAAAATATTTTAATAATTTTTCGTCTGCAATGAAGTGGGTTCTTATAAAATATTAAATAAGCTGCCTTCTTGGCTTATAGCCAACAATACTTGTTATAAACAGTCAAAAGGGTGAGTTAAACATGTTTTTAAATGCTAATCACTAATAAATTATTTAATAACAAATTCACAATTAATAGTAAAAAACAAATACGTCATTAAATACATATTTTTGTTTTGACTGGCTATATAGATTTTTCCTATAATCTAACATGGTCAATAAACACTACCACTGTCACAATTATATATACAGGGTGTCTCAGAAATAAGTGTCAAAATTAGAACCACGCATTTATTAAAAGCAACAACTCTTTAATTTTTAAGATAACATAATTTTTTAATTTTTGTTACCCGCCACTGGAGCATAAGTCAAAACTTTTAATTGAGTTAATAATAAACAGAAAAAAGTACAATAAAATTTGTTTTTTTTTATGTAAAACATATCAAAAACATCTAAGTAATATGTAATTCCTAAATCGTAAATAATGATTCCTAAATCGTAAAAATGATTCCATTTGGTTCCATTTTGATAGGTATAAAAAACAGACAAGATGTATTGTAATTTAATAGTTAAATACTTGCTTAAAATTTTTGTACCTCTACTTCTAGGATACTGTATTTTTTTCACAGCAACTAAATGTGTTAAACATATACAATAAGAAGTGGATCTTATTTGTGGAAGGGCGAAATGGGCGGTGACTATTAGACGCCTTCATTATAGCCATCTTTCTCTATCGCACGGATTTCTGTGACTTTCTTTATCGCTCTCACGTAATACAGGGGTTGGAAAGTCCCCATGGTTCATCGGCTGTTACGTGAGAGCGATAAAGTAAGTCATAGAAATCCGTACGACAGAGAAAGATGGCTATAATGAAGGCGTCTAATAGTCACCGCCCATTTCGCCCTTCTACAAATAAGAAGTGGATCTTATTTGTGGAAGGGCGAAATGGGCGGCGACTATTAGACGCCTTCATTATAGCCATCTTTCTCTATCGCACGGATTTCTATGACTTTCTTTATCGCTCTCACGTAACGGCCGATGAACCATGGGGACTTTCCGACCCTGTATGTAGTAGAGCACTTGAATTGTCTTAAACTATTTTTCTCAATTTTTTTTATGTTCATGTTTTGCGAATTTCTTAAAGGACTGTTGCTCAAATTTCGAATCGATATATTACCTATACTGAAATATATAATGCTCCTTTCGCTATCAGTTTGTAAATATTTAAATTACCTACCATGATTCAAATTTGTTGTTCAGACGGTTAAATTCTAGCCTTAAATTATTATTTGGTGCAGTATACATATGTTTCCAAAATATAGATAACATCAAGGTCATTGTTTAAACTAAATGCGCCTCACCTACTTTTATGTTTTCAATTTTGCTTTTTAGATATTGAAGTTATCTGAAACTATAAATATGTTTTGTATTTAATAAACTGTAAACAGAGAATATTGTCGTTCCTTTATTGCCTAACATACATATTTCCGTAGGTGTTTAAGCATTATTTGTTTTTCATTCTTTTATTTGCCGCCGTTATAGCCTATATTATAATACAGTGTTGCAAACACTATGATTTATAGCGAATCCAGATCTAGGCCTTGATAATATCAAATTTATGCAATGGTGGTAAGATGAAATATTGACCTTAATTTATTGCCTTTTGCTGCTACCAATTTTAGAGAATTATTTATAATAGCATCCTTATTTCAATCGTTATTTGATTCTTAAAATATTTTCTATATAAAATTTCCATTTCCTAATATGATATTTTTCTCATTATTTTGAACCTGCCCTCATAATTTTCGCAATCTTCACCTGTGATTATATATTCATCCCAAGCTTTAGAGTTAAGATTGTTTTTAACTTCCTATTTTTTATGGATTAAGTATTAAAAATTATTAATTACGCGTAAAGCTAATTATTGTAAGTCCTATAGAATATTGTGTGTGTTTTTAATATAATCTCAATGTATTTAACTGTAATATCTAGATAGTTTTATAGCTACGCATACGTAAAGCGAATATAAAAAATAATAATGTTTAAATACCAATTATATCGAAATTGATTACAAGCTGAAAAAACAATATACATATTGCGTTTTTATTATCTTATCTAACAAATAATGATTATGCCACAATGATTTTCAAAAAATATATATTATGTCTTCGCAATTTTTGCTTTAAGTCCTTGTTGGAAAGATTGCGTTATACCTATGTATGTAAATGTTTTAGAATAAAATAGGAGTCTACTGCGTTTCTTAAACAAATAAAAAGCTTTATCACGACTCAAAGTTTCTGTTTAACTATATGTATATTTAACCGCAACATATTACTATCTAATATTAATAAAATTTAACGGGAAGTAGTGGCGATAGAGGCCTCTAAGTGCGTCAATGATTATTTCAATATACTCAAGCTGATGAGCGAAAGGTAAATTAAATAAAAATCCCGATATGAGCTCGTAGTTGTTTTAAATGGATTGTTTTTGTTATTACCTGACATGGAATATGAATTATCAGTTTATATCGCATTTAATTACGGTTTAATGACATTCCATCATAAATAATTGTCCATGCTTAGTGGATAGGTATGAAATAATCTTCTTCCGGCTAGGCGCGGTGTCTGGGTCTGGTATATGTATTATCCGGCCAAACATCATGGCAGGCCTAAGATCTGATTTAGACCTGTGCGTGTCTCCAGAAAAAGATCGCGTCACGCGAGCAAAATTTTGATAAATTGTCCCAGTTCTGTTCTAGAAAAAAATCGAGAAAGATTGTAGAATCGGTGAAAATTAAAGTAGCTTTGCTATATAAAGTTATTTCGAAATCGGATATCTGAGACAAAATACTTAGGCTAATGATACAATTAATTGAAGAGAAAATACTCTCCTTGCACCACCTATGCGTTGTTTTTTAAGTCCAGTCGAATTAGATCATAAACCCTGAAAACTTAAAAAATATGTTAGTAGACATTTTATTGCACTTTATGATGGTATGTAGAATAATATCAAAAAACTAACTCGAAAGAAGTGACGCGAAGTTGGAAAATTGCAAATAAGTGGCAAATTACATATTTTTCACTTTTTTTTTACTGCACATGAAAATCTAGACGACCTATCGGAATGTTAGTTATTTTATGTTGTACGTAATTAAATTACCTACAATTTAAGGTACCTAAAGGTATATTTCACCAATTTGTTAACTGTAAAGTAAAAGTCGAACGCGAAAAAGTCAGTTTTCGAAAATTGCGCATTATTATTGCAAAAAGCGGTGGATTTTGATGAAATTTATGGAAAAGACGGTCAATCTAATGACTAAAATGTGTGTCAAAAGCCGATTTGATTGACCGTAAAGTTGTGGCTCAAGTATTTGTTAATTACTTTCGTTCTTTTTTTGCAACTAATTGTTTAATTACCAAACGTTAATTTTAGAAGTTAATTTCGTAGATACCTTTTGGTTCTAATCGATCCAAAGAAAGGTATCAAAATGATAAAAATTCATGTTGCTCTTTTACAACTAACAAAGTATTATGAGCAAAACACCGTTATAACAAATTGTCCCATCAGGATCAGCCAAAAATCGCTCGGGAATTCGCTCACCCCCTTAATTTTCGCAGTTATTTATTTAATCCCTGAATAAACAAGACTAAAACCTCATAATTTTAACATCAAAACCAGTTTTGGTTCTATTATTCGAATGTTGTTGCTTACGATGGGAAATGGGAAATGGGTCTTATAGCAGGCTTTCAGAAATCTATCCTTACAATAAGCATTATTATAGGTACATAAAGTAAATTTCATAAAAACTAGAAGATACATTTTATTGTCATGCTATTTTGTTTCATGGTTAAATAAGGCATTTTTTTCTGTTTCTTCGTGTTCCTGGAAACTCGGTTTTACAATTTAGTAGGTACCTAATGCGAATTCTAAAAGTAGGTACTCTATAACAGGGGTCGGCAAGTAATTTTAGGTGGGGTCCGGATACTTTTGAAATTTTTTAACGAGGTCCAGAAAAAATTCATATTTCTTACTAATTTTTTATTTTCATTTACATTAAGAACTCAAATCAGTCACAATTGTAAAATACTAGAAAAAATTATAAGGGTTGCACTCAAACGTAAAAAAATATTTTTTAAATAATTTATTTGAGTAATTTATATTTTCAAAAAATTTTTGGCGGTCCATTATTTTACCTTCCGCGGTCCGGATCTGGACCGCGGTCCGCCAGTTGCCGACCCTTGCTCTATAATTTCGATATTGACTTTGTTGAGATTATTTCACCTTTACTGGCAATTATAATAGAATAAATTTTCTAGTCTTAGGCTTAAATTGTTCCTATAAATTAAAAATGTCAGTTTCCAGTATATTCTTCGTCATTTCAATAATTTGATGTCGTATTTTCTGCTCACTTTATATTTCTGGATTTATGTTGAGAAAACGGCAATTAAGCAGGAACAGTTTTTTACTTTCTCTTGTCAATTAACCCTTCCGACCAAACGAAGGAGTTTAGAATAACATCTTATCTGATTTTGAATAAATTATTTTTGGCGTTGTTAAAGTATGGAAGCAATAATAAGTACATAAAGTAAATTTCATAAAAGCTAAAATAAGACACATTTTGTCATGCTATTTTGTTGTTTGAAGTGTGTTTGAAGTGTAAAGTAAGGCAATTTTTTCTATTTCTTTATGTTTCTCGAAACTCGGTTTTATAATTTAATATGTGTTGCCCCACATGTTAGTTTCAGCCAAATAATGCAAGTTCTAAAAGTAGGTACTCTATAATATTGTATTGATTTTGTTGAGATCATTTCACCTTTACTGGCAATTAAAATAGAATAAATTTTCTAGTCTTGGGCTTAAATTATGCCTATAAATTAAAAAATGTAAGTTTCCAGTATGTTACTCGTTATTTCAATAATTTGATGTCTTATTTTCTGTTCATTTTATATTTCTGGATTCATGTTTGAGGAAATGGTAATTTTGCAGGAACAGTTTTTTTACTTTCTGTTACAATTGACGCTTCATAATTGAATTAAAATAAACATCTCAGTAGACCAAACGAAGGAGTTTAGAATAACATCTTATTAGATTTTGAATAAAAATCTTTCAAAATTAGGCAATGGATAACCAATTTTGAGGAAATTATAGTTTTGAAATTTGTTAATTCTTAAGGTCTTAAATAAGTTAATATAAACGTAGGTCGAAATATGCTTCGTTTCCGAGATACAGTGTTTAAATTTAAATTTTTTATTTATTTTAATTATTTCAGTTTTAAAGATATTGACTCGAAATTTGAAAAACGCTTTGGAGGGATAAATGTGCAATTTTTGGGTGATCCGAATATTTCTACTTGCACCAGTGGCGTTCGTGCGAGAATTCCACCTTTTTAGATCCGCCATCAATTCTGAATGAAATTGATCACTTCAATTTTTTAGTAGGATACACCGTGTTTGAGGAAAAAATAAAACACATTTTATTGTAGGTTTCGTTAATCTTTTATTACAGTCTCTTTTATTATGGTCAAAGAAAAATGCAATTCAACATTGAAAATAAAAAGATTATATGGATGTGGGTAAAAAATTCTTCGATTTCGAGATACAGGATGTTCAAAACTTTGAAATAATTAATTGAAATAAATAAAAAATTAAAATTTAAACACTGTATCTCGGAAATGAAGCATATTTCGACCTATGTTTATATGAACTTTTTTTCACAAAATAACTTCGGGAACCACCCCTTAAATATTAAAAATAAATAAAAAATATTTTGCACTTATTTACAAACAACCTGTATATGGAAATAATGGTTGCAACTTAGGTTGCACACCACTGGTCTGTTATACAAATATAATATGTATATATATATATATAATAAAAAATTATTTAAAGATGTAGCTGTATTTTTTTGCGAATTTTAAAAATTATAAAACAAAATCAAAAATGTATAAATTAAAAAATTAATAAGTGCTAGAAGGAACACTTGCTTTTTATATTTGTTCTTTCTTGTTTTTTCATAGCAATTGAAATACTTCCCGATGCATCCATTTGAGTAAAATTGGCACTTATACATATATAGTGATGAATTGTGAGTATTGAAACATATTTTAATAGGATGTAAAAAGTTCAAATACAGCTGTTTTACTAAATTCGTACCATACCATACTTCAACTCACACTCGTCATTGTTTTCACAAAATTGTTTCTAGAGCCATTTTGACATTGCAATAGATATTAGATTGATGTTTTAAACCTTTTCGTTTAGATATTTAGAGATAATGAAATAATATCTCTGTTTTTAGAGTTGCCGGAACGACAGGTGCCATAGTAACCTGCCCCCTGGAGGTGGTCAAGACCAGGCAGCAGTCTTCCAGGAATAGCTTCGTAATAGTGCGCGACCTCTCCAACATCCCAGGAGAGAGCCCATTGCCCAAAACGACATGTCGAACTGTTCCCGACCAGAGGCGTAGGTTGTGGACCTCTTCTTGGTACAGCCGACCTCAAGTTGTGGCTCTTTCAGGTTACACTTCCCCGCCGTCCCAGATCCAAACGCTCAGCATCGTCCAGTGTCTCAGGCATATTATACAGCATGAGGGGCCCATGGCGTTGTTCAAAGGTAATAATTTTTTAATGAAATATCACTTCCGTTATCTTTTTTAAAACAAATTGGTGTCGGTATATGCGTGTCAGATTTTATCTTGATAATCTGTCTACCGAATTTTGTAGCACATAAAAAAAGGTACTTTTTCCAGCAAATTTCAAACTTGGGAGATATACCCCTTTTAAGGGAGATGGTAGATATATTTTATGAAAATTCCTTTCGAGCATCTTATATAAATTTCACGTTTCGTGAGGAGTAGTTTTAGAGGGTTACTATTACTTTTTTATTTTTACCTTACTTAAGCAAACAAATTGGAAGGTACCGATTGATTATTAAGAAATAAAAAATGCACTTGTTTAATTTTGAATATATCAAACCGTTTTCAAGAAATTCCGGTCTAAAGTACATACAGGCAGTGGTGGTTTGAGAATCTAGAAATGGGAAGTCAATTTTTAAAATGTTAATACACAGAGCTCGTAAAGTTTGGAATAAATTCGAAAAATCGTTACTGAAGGGTTTTGACATTTGAAATGCTCGGACACGTCAACTTTAGTTTATAAAATGTCACTTTTTTTAGCAATCGACTTTTTTTTTGTTTTGTTTGTTTTTGATCTATGACGTCATCGGCAATTTTTTTAAATGGCAACCCATATTTTTTTCCACGGATTTCGATAGAGCACATTTTTCTGAGTACGAATATGTCAAAAACGCATGACCTTCAAGATGGAAGTTTTCGAGATATTCGGTTCCAAAGTTTCAAGAATACATTATACAAGCGATGACAAAATACTAATCATTTATCAAGGAACCGCTGGAAAAATTACAGTTTTGATAGTTGAAGTTTGTCCTCGCAAGTTTGTGTTTTATTTTAAGTTGATTAATCATTATTCTATCAGAATTCATTTTATTTGAAAATGGTCCGTCATTTGAGTGAAAGGGAAAGAATCGAAAATTTTATGAGCAGTTACGGAGCATGAATATTATGTCAAAAACGTACGACCTTCAAGATGGAAGTTTTCGAGATAATAGACAGTTTAAAACACAAACTTGCGAGAACAAACTTCAACTATCAAAACTGTAATTTTTCCAGCACTTCCTTGATAAATGATTAGTATTTTGTCATCGCTTGTATAATGCATTCTTGAAACTTTGGAACCGAATATCTCGAAAACTTCCATCTTGAAGGTCATGCGTTTTTGACATATTCGTACTCAGAAAAATGTGCTCTATCGAAATCCGTGGAAAAAAATATGGGTTGCCATTTAAAAAAATTGCCGATGACGTCATAGATCAAAAACAAACAAAACAAAAAAAAAGTCGATTGCTAAAAAAAGTGACATTTTATAAACTAAAGTTGACGTGTCCGAGCATTTCCTGTCAAAACCCTTCAGTAACGATTTTTCGAATTTATTCCAAACTTTACGAACTCAGTGTATACCTCATAATATTTATACATAAATCAATCCTTTTGAGATGCACAGTGGTCATTAATTTTATCGTTTATCTGCTTTATCAACAACTCTTCTATTCTGCTCATAGCTGAAATAGTTAACCCTTCTTATCACATTGTATTTTTTGACTCTGACTTCTTCTCAAAATTGAAGAACAATGCTCATTTTCTACTATTGGGTCTGTTGTGTGTCGATTCAAATGTATTAGGACAATACCGCACCCTTATTATCTTTCTATTTCATGACACTAATGAATGTATTGTTTTTAGGTATTCTTGTTACAGTAAAAATGCAAATAGATTCTTAAAAATATAAATTTTTGCCAATTTCTAGTAATACATTGAATATCTCTTTATTATCATATATTTATATGGGAGGTCATCGACCATATGACCTTATATAGAAACTGCCACTGATCATGAGGATACATTTTTAGAATTTCCATAACATCAATCGCATGTGATTTGAATTGTTACCAATTTGGAACAATTTTAAAAATATCGGGAGCCAATTTTTGATAAAATATACAGAAAGCATTTTGAATAATTGTTAATTATTTTGAGTGTTGTTTATTTGATTTTTTGCTACTATTTTGCTGTGTCTTTAATGACAAATGTATTTTAATTATATTATTGATTCAAATGATAAATAAAGAAGTAAAGACATTGATTTAATAAACAGAAAATTAAAATATGTAGGTATTTATTAGATTAAATTTTCTAGTTGAAATTAAATATGAATTTTAAGTTTTTTATCCTTCCAAATATTCTAATTTTAAAAATTGAAAAAGAAATGAAAAGACGTGTATAATAAGTTTTGTAAAAGAAGATAAAAATTAAAAATATGTATTTTGTGTCTGTTTCCAATCTGTGTTGGCTTCAAAAGGCTTGAATCTATCTATTAATGATGAGTGTTGGGAAAAGACCATTTTTTAATTTAAGACAGTGGTGAAAAATCTTTTCTCTTTACCAACGGTTGTTTGTCACTGACATTCTGTATTAAACTAAAATTGATGTGGCAGAGCAATATTCTAGCATAAAATACAAATTTTAAACAAAGCAGGATATCGAATTCAGAGATTTACCCAAATATCAATATATTTTGTCCAACTAGAACTATATCTTGAAAACAGTTGAATTTTAAACACATTTTTGTAACGAAATCTATTTATTTTCACTTTTTTACATCTGCTGTTGGAGCTATTATTATAAAATCTATTATAAAATGTAAATTATAAATTTATATATTTTTTTCTTAGGTCTTGGGCCTAACCTGGTGGGCGTGGCGCCTTCCCGAGCTGTATACTTCTGCACGTACTCCCAGGCGAAGGTGTTTTGGAATAGCTTCCTCCCGGCGGACTCGCCCATAGTACATGTTTGCTCTGCGTCTTGCGCGGGCTTCATGGCCAGCACCCTGACTAACCCCATATGGTTCGTTAAGACCCGTCTCCAGTTAGATTTAACTAGGAATAGTGATGTGACTGCTATGCAAGTCGTTCGAAGGATATATGCTACATCGGTAAGTCTCACGCATATTATTATTTTTAAGGTTTTGCAATTTCTATTCTAAGGCTCTGTTTGTTTAAAAATATTTTACCTTCGTTGTTTTTTTACGGATGTTAATCTAATCTATAAATTGGGAGCAATTTGTGTGCTTTTATAAACCTCATAAAAATCGTAAAATATTATTTTTGTACAATGGGTATTAACTTAAAAGTTATGAAAAGATAATAACTAAGTTTAAAGTACAATGGTTTTGTATACCGTATTGTTATACCGTGACCTAGGTACCTGGTTACCGCCAGTTACGAATATACGTTGTACCTCCTCAGCTAGGAATAATCGACATACTTGTTGTTGTCGGATTAGGCTCTATGGGGCCTGGCGCGCTATCAGAACCCCTAAGCTCGCCCTGATGTTCATTTTGGTCCTTTTTCCATAGCAGCCTTAGCAGTAAATCATTTAAGATGTTACTTAAACGGTATAAATACTTTCGACCATCTAACCGATCTGATATAACGGAAGGTGTAATGATCCATTAGTGTTATTTTAACCTTTTCACTGCTCTAGACGTATATATTCGCTAAAAATTTATAGGGCTCAAACTGCTCCAGACGGATTAATTCGCATGAATAGTTAAATTGGATCAGGCTGCTCAAACCCTATATATATACGCAACCATGCGCATTAGTGGCGAATTTTTGCGGGCGAGCTTATACCGATTGTGACAAATATTTTTATGGAAAGAGGTACTGGTAATGATACCAAGATTGTTCATGTTTCTTTCAGTTTCTATTTAGTACATATACTGTATTTTATTCAAAATAAAATCGTAAAATTTATCGTAAATGGTAATTTAACACAACATAATGTAAAACTATAAGTGGTCTAACTGCTCCGGACGTATATATTCGCACGCGATAAAGTTTCGCGCACGGCGCGGTTGCTATGTTCAGACGTATTGCGCAGCGAAAGGGTTAATAAGAAGAAATATTGGATAAGCTTATAGAAATTATTAGACTTTGATGAGTTAAATGAGTTGTTAAAATTTTGGCACTTATTTCTGGGATGTCTTGTATATAGTGTATCATGTCTACTGAATCAATTATGATGATCGAGTTGGCAATCCTGCTGTGATTTTTGGGAAAATCGCTTTAGCACGTTGCATGCTATGATATTTGATAAATCAACTAATTTAATTTTTTTAAATATGCTATGTTCTGATGTTTACTTAACAATGATGTTCTGATGTTTATTTAACAACATTGATTGCCTTTCTTTGGGTTTTTTAAATTACATAACCTTAATCAGCCATGTTAAACGCCTATATTTAAAATTTTATCGATATAGAGTAACATAATTTTTTATATAGACTTGATTTTAAATATATGATATTTCCGTTTCAGTTCAAAAACTAGAAAGCTTTGGAAATACTTGAATGTGAAAAATGTGCTAATTACTGATATTGGCCCTTAAACAGACTCTTATTATTATTTCCTAGCTGAAATAATCAGTGTAAGTAATCGACTAAGTTTTCATCTTCAGGCGTTTCCAAAAACTTGAAAATCCAATACAATTGGCTATTGTTGACACTGCCATCTAGATTTGATACGAAGACGCTGCTGAAAAATAAAATACATTTTTCAGTGTTGCATATTCTATTTCATGCTAACTTTATAGAAATGATTTTTGATTTTATCTTTTTTTTTATGGACAAATATTTTTAACACGCAGTGTTACATTGACTATTAATGACTATCTTTTGGGTATTCTCAAAATTGAGTCATTTATTTTAACAGCTCATAGAACTAATAAAAAAGTCGATTTACCAAAATTTCCTCGTTCCTTTAAATACCCTGTGTCGCGGAGTCTTATAACTAAATTAGGATGATTTCGTAAAGGAAACCTTTCCACGTACAAGTGACATGTTGCAGTTGCATTTTGTTGACACTCCCTGTAAGTTAATATTACGTCCACTAGTTCATTGTTTTCATTAACATGTTCCATTTTTATTGCACAAAACACCAACAAATCAAAAATAATATCACGCACTACTGTACGAATTATTTAGCACTGTCAAATCAAAAAGCGTACTCAAAACTGTGCAACTACAAGAAAAAGGCATACCTAGTATCAGTAATAAACAAACAATTTATGTTTTTACAACGGAGTGGTCGAAAATGACAACAAATCAGGTTTGTATTATAAAGTTTTTAAATTGTTAATAATTGCTTTATTTGTCAACTTTTATATAAACAATTTTTGGTAAATTGACTTTTTTTACAAGTTCTACTGCTGCTGTTAAAATAAATGACTCAACTTTGAGAACACCCTGTATATCATAAATAAATTATCACGGCACATTCATATTATTTTTAAAGGTTACGAGAAAGATAAAAAAATCTTACAAGACTTTAAATTTCAGGGCATTCTAGGTTTTTACAAAGGCATAACAGCCTCTTACATGGGCATCTCGGAAACCATTGTACATTTCGTGATCTACGAAGCCATAAAGGCCGAATTAATGGCGCACAGGTCGCATGTCACCGACGAGAAGAGTTCCAAGGACTTCCTCGAGTTCATGATGGCCGGGGCTATTTCTAAAACGGTAGCCTCTTGCATAGCTTACCCCCACGAGGTCGCCAGAACGCGACTGCGCGAGGAGGGTTCAAAATACACGGCCTTCTGGCAAACTTTGGGACTCGTCTACAAGGAGGAGGGTTTCAGGGGTATTTACAGAGGTCTAACGACTCAGTTAGTGAGACAGATACCAAACACAGCGATTATGATGTCGACGTACGAAGCGGTCGTTTATATTTTGACCACGAGGTTCAACACTGAATTTTACGCAAAGGAGGAGCAGTAAGATTTGAGTAGGTGAGATAATTGTCGATCTAAGTCAATCGTCGGCTGGTAACAGCGAGTCGGTGTGATTTCATGAGAAATGTAGAAGTCATTGTGATAATTTTATTATTTGGGAAGTGATGACCGTTAGAAAGCCTTTAGAAGAAATAAGGATAAAAATTGTCTTTAACAAACAATACATAAGGTAAACATACAAGTATTTTTAGTATTCTAATACACAGAAATATATATTTTCTTTTTTTTTTCCATATAAAAGAATAGTTTTCTTTGTTTTTTGTTATGCCTTATAGATTAAATAAAAAATTAGTCACTCCGGTTAGTCTGCTGGATATTTACATCAAATTCAATTCCAGAAAGGAACATGATTAGATTTTATGATATGGAACAAGGCACAGTGTTTTAACGATATATGAGAGGGGGGGGAACCCTAAAATAACCGGACACCGTTTTTAAAAAAATAGATTTTTTTTGTGTTCCAAATGTTAGTCACCTTTGAAGCACTCTCCGTTAATACTAATACACTGATACAAAGGTTTTTACCATTGCGGGAAACACCTTTTGTACTCGTCCTTTCCGATGCCTTGCAGTGCCGCCTTCGATTTTCTTTTCACTCGTACATTTGAGTTCTTTTCAAGGCATGTTCTGTGTACAGGGTGTTCCTAAATAAATGTCGCAACGAAAAACTGTAAATTCCTCTTGAAAAAAAAAAAAAAAAAAAACATTGATTTCCTTTTCCATTTTTCTCTCCAGGCTTTCGTTTTCGAGATACACGGTGTCAAAACTTTATTTTTTTTTAGTTTTTTTCCAGTATCTTTGGAACCGTTTGAACTACAGGACTGAGCTTTTGTACACACATTTCCACTATTAATAGCTACTTTTTCGCATCCTCGAATTCATTGGACGTGCCAGTGGTGGAGATTTTAAGGTATCATAAGGGTTTTTCCCCCCTAACTTTTACGCCACTGGAAAAATTGACATTTGACGGCAAATTCTGATTGCTCTAAAGTCAACAGTTTTCAAGAAAAATGACTTTATGAACAAAAACAAACGTTTCGAAAAGCTTTTGTAATTCAAAAAATATGTAGTAATAACAATTTTAACGAAATTTAACAACAGATAGGACTTAAAAATAATTTTTTATCACTTTAACGACTAAAATTTACAAAAACTGATGTTAAATTTCGTTAAAAATTGTTAATTATTACTATTTTTTGAAATACAAAAGATTTTTGAAATGTTAGCAAAGTGTTTGTTTTTGTTCACAAAAGCTCAGTCCTGTAGTTCAAACAGTTCCTAAGATATTGGCAAGAATAAACTAAAAAAAATTAGTTTGACACTGACAAGTTTTGACACCGTGTATCTCGGAAACGAAAGCCCGGAGAGAAAAATAGAAGAGGAATTTACCGTTTTCCGTTGCGACACTTATTTAGGAACCCCCGGTATAAGCTGTCCGATGCACTTTACATAGCAGAAAACAAAATTTCAATGCCAATTAACCATTTTAAGAAATTGAAGAAATAGTCGTTACACGAAAACTGTCTCAGGCTTGCTATAACCGTCTCAAGCAACGCCACTTGGCAGACTGTAACACCCATCTAGTGGGAGAAGTCCAAACTACAAGAGCGGCGCATTTGACGAATTTCGTCGGGTTATTTTGGGTCCCCCCTCGTATCCTGTATTTTTCAGAAATGTGCAGTATAAATGTAATCTTTGTTAAATCGGTGTAAATCGTGTATATGATTATTTATTGCTGTATTGGACACTAAGAGGCGAGGAAGTCATATTTTGTTTTGGAATCCTTGTCTGTATACTCATAGTTAGACAACTAGTTAACGTTATGTTTGACAATGTTAGATGGTGACATTTGTCTGTCATTCTTATTTATACTAAAATCCCTTTCAACCTGTTGCCTAACTATATAAACACGGATTACCATCATCCAGAAAACTATTAGTAGTAATTTTTCTGAATATCCTTGAATTAGGACATGTTATCATAGACGCCTTAAAAGGAATTTGGTAGGTCTTTTAGATCTGTGTTGTGTAATAATTGTATAATTGGCTTTCATAGAATTACTTTTGTTTCAAAAGAACAATTTTATTTATTTAGACAAAAGTAGTTTTAAAGTTAGCGTCATTCTTAAATGTTAAGAAAAGAATGTAGATTTTAATTTTTATAAACTTTTGAATAGATCGGAAAAATTTATATACCAGACATTGTATATATCCACAGTATTATTATACGAAACACCATAACCCAATACTACTTAAGTAAAGAAACGGTAAAAATTTCTGCTTGATGTGTAACGGTATTTTTATTTTCATAAAAACTCCCAAAGGGAGCAGCTTCGTCGGAAGCTAACTTTTATGTTTTTAATTGTTGTATATTGTAAATAGCATCAGTAAATAAAAAATGTTTCTCTATATTTTGTATTGAAATCAAATCACCCTTAAATACTTAGATAATATTTAAAATATTTCTTGGAGACTTAAAAAAAAATTATTAAATCTTTTTACGCTAATTAACACTATTACATACATTTTTTGTATAAATGTTAGTTGCACTTTTGCTTAACAAAAATTTTTAAAAGGCAAATAAAAAAAATATTGCTTATATACATACAGAGTGACCCATTTGAAAGCGGGCCACCCTCATAACATTTTTATTTATGGAGCCATTTTGACGAAATTTTGTTTGAAATGTAGAGGGGGGAAAAGTGTATTTTGGGGCTAAGCGCCGTCCAGTTCTTTTTTAAACCAAGGCCTACTAGATCACATTCAGAGGCTGAAAAATCCAGAATCCATATTAGCGATTTTTTTAGAAAAAATCTGCGTACGCCACTGGATTTGGCGTCCCCTGAAATGGATCTGTACCAAATTTCATGAAAAAATATTCAACATTAACGATTCTGCGGCTAAATTGCTGTCAAATTGTTTATTATGCATAAAGAAACTTTTTATCTAGTAACCCATGCGATAATAAATCAATCACAACAAATATTTAATAACACGTTTAATAGACATCATTATACCAAAATACAATGAAACAGACAGAAAAATGAACGAGAAATTAACATAAAATTTACAAAAAATACAATAAAATAAAATTAACACACATGAATTAAATTAAATTCTGGAATTTTCAACTAAATCTCCATTTAATTGAATGAATATTTTTGTAAATGTTGCCTCTCCTAGATTTTTTTTATGGGGGTTCATTAAAGAAAAAGTTTACTACACTCGTCCAATGAATGCAGAAGAACTGCGCGAAAGAAGAAGATAGGCATGCGCTGAAATTACAACACATCAATTGTCTAATGTTATGGCACACATTCAAAAACAATACAATAAATGAATTCAATTAAATGAAGATTTAGTTGAAAATTCCAGAATTTAATTTAATCCATGTGTGTTAATTTTATTTTATTGTATTTTTTGTAAATTTTATGTTAATTTATCGCTCATTTTTATGTCTGTTTCATTGTATTTTGGTATAATGATGTCTATTAAACGTGTTATTAAATATTTGTTGTGATTGATTTATTATCGCATGGGTTACTAAATAAAAAATTTCTTTATGCATAATAAACAATTTGACAGAAATTTAGCTGCAGAATCGTTAATGTTGAATATTTTTTCATGAAATTTGGTACAGATCCATTTCAGGGGAAGCCAAATCCAGTGGCGTACGCAGATTTTTTCTAAAAAAATCGCTAATATGGATTCTGGATTTTTCAGCCTCTGAATGTTATCTAGTAGGCCTTAGTTTAAAAAAGAACTGGACGGGGCTTAGCTCCAAAATACACTTTTCCCCCCTCTACATTTCAAAAAAAATTTCGTCAAAATCGCTCCATAAATAAAAATGTTATGTGGGTGGCCCGCTTTCAAATGGGTCACTCTGTAGATAATCGAGTTATAATTCATTTCTTAAACTGCATTTAAACCTTGTCTATAGTAGGATCATATTCGATGCAAAATAATAAATCATTGCCTGTCAAGGGATCCAATGCAATACGGCTTTAAGGGGTTTAGAAATTGAATAATTTCTTTATGCATTATGAAGGGATCAGTTCATGTCTGGCACCCCTGTTCTTACAAAGATTCCTTTATTTTCATAAACTATTTATTTCAAATGTAATTTTATTATAAATCGAATTTGTTTTTTAAATTCCACATATGTACTACATATGTAACTAAAGGTAAGTAAAACTATTTATGTGTTCAGATCATTATTTTTGCTGTTTTATAAAATATACACAAAAACTAAACTTACTAATCTGAAATTTTTACAAAAAGTGTATATTACTGTTTTTTGAAGCAATGTGTTTCAGTTTGTGAGTCTCGGTATCAATAATCCCTGACATTGACATAGGTGAGATGCAAATAATAATCAATAGGGTGCGTCAAAAAATTTACTATTTTTTTTAACTTTATACTCTGAAAAATAGGTTGCTAGACATCTCCAGAAAATTCTCTCCTAATATGAGTTCTTAATTTTAATAGGAAGATTCTCCGCTTTACAGTTTTCGATTTTTTCCTCAGTATTAGAAAAAAAAAATCATATCTCTCTATCAAGTGTTCGTTAAAAATATCTCTCCTCATATACTTGTAGGAAATTGAACGCTCTACAAAAAAGATCTCTTACAATTTTTTCGTAAACCTCACCATTTAAAAGATATTAAAGGTTGAAATGTGATTATTTTAAGACAAATTTCTGTTTTGCTTATGAATTTTATAACTCGTTAACAAAAACTCATTATGAAATGCGCAATTCATAATTTTGTAAGAAATTAATTGCTAAAATGATTAGTCGATTAAATAAAGCATTTAAGATATTCATCGTCAAACTTCAATGCACGCCAATTTTAACAGTTTCTGATTAATAATTCGGAAAATTTCAATTTAGTTTATGATTTCAGAGAAATCTATACAAATTTGAGTTTCTATGAACAGAGAAATGTTTTAAATTATTTTATATTATTTATAAAAAAAATTTTTTACATTGAAAGTATGAATATTTTATAAATGTTTGAAATTTTATGACTCACTTGATAATTAAATAAAAAAGCTTTTTAATAACAAATTGAACATTTTTTTTCTTGAAGATTAAAACTTTTCATAATAAATTTCTGACAAAAACGTTATTTTTTCAAGATTTAATGAATCATTGACTCTCAGTCAGAAATAATGCACTAATTTTTTTTCGATGTAACCGAACCTGTTTACGACTAAAAAAAAACTAGAAAAATAGTTTAAAACAGTACATTGAAGTTTGACGATGAATATCTTTTAAAAACTTTATTTAATCGACTAATCATAAGAGACCATTTTTGTAGAGTAGTTAATTTCCTACAAACTATGAATTGCGCATTTCATAATGATTTTTTGTTAACGAGTTATACAATTCATAAGCAAAACAGAAATTTGTCTTAAAATAATCAAAGTTCAACCTTTAATATCTTTTAAACGGTGAGGTTTACGAAAAAATTGTAAGAGACCTTTTTTGTAGAGGGTTCAATTTCCTACAAGTACATGAGGAGAGATATTTTTAACGAAACCAGTTGATAGAGATATGAATTTTTTTTTTCTAATACTGAGGACTAAATGGAAAACTGTAAAGCGGAGTACCTTCCTATTAAAATTAAGAGCTCATATTTGGAGAGAATTTTCTAGAGGTGTCTAGCAACCTATTTTTCAGAGTATAAAGTAAAAAAAAAATAGTCGGTTTTTTTGGCCCACCCTAATAATCAATCCACCTGATGTGATATGACAACAGGAAGCTAGATGGAAAAAAACAAACAGCCAACATTCATTTGACAAAATTAAAGTTGCCGGTAACCTCACCATTTCATACGGTAGGTAATTTTGTGACTTCCTCTGTGAAATATTAGTTTTTAATGGAATCGAAATAGAATTCGTATAGTGCAATGTTGTGTTTTTTAAGTTTAAATTAGTAATAAAATCCGATGTAGTTTTTAGTGACATAAATAAAGTTATTTATTTTACTGTTTATTGACAGTACAGTGTGTTTGAGTGTCATCATTGTCAAATTTGTGTGATATGAAAAAACACGTATTCCAATTTAGTAAGATGGAACTTGACAATGCATGCTGTAGCTCCCAATTGCCTATGTGCTTGGGACTAGCAATCTCGAAATAAGTTAAAAAAATCAGTTCTCATGACGAAATTTGAGGAAATAAACATATTTCTAAAGCTCAAATTAGCTTTCCTATAGATATGATCCCATTCAAAGTAGCACCCTGTATAAAGTATTGTTTTTATATTATACAGGGTGGGCCACCAGTAACGCCTCGGTTGCTAGAGATCAAACGACAAATGTTATAGAAACCTGTTTAGGTAGGTACGTGTAGGTTGATAGCGGCTACATTTTAAAAATAGTTTGAAATATACAGGGTGTCCAGGAAAAGCGTACCATATCAGTTATGTATTTTTAAATGGAACACCTTGTATACTACTGCATTTTTTAAAGCACCATAAAAAATAGGTGAACTTTATTAAAGGTTCTGCATGCCTAGGACTTATTGTTTGCAAGACATTTCAATTTTAGGGAAATTGCAGGCTTAGCGTAGAAAATTAATATTAGCAATAAAAAAATAATTTTAAGAAAGCAGCTTTGCAGAGTGTATTTTAGATCCTTGAAGTTAAAAATTATTATATTTGTCTTCACTTAGTATTGCACATGGTGTTCAAAAAATTGCCGAATACTTCTCTCAACTTTAAACAGCAATAACTTGGTTATTTTAAATGGGACACTCAGTATATTTTTACTTTGGAAGTTAGGAAATTGTATTTGTATTATCGTATTTCAAAAAATTTTTGCAAATCTGCATTCATATGAACCTTTTATCTTTGGTTAAAAAGTCTCTTATGTAATTTCGCTATAGGATATTGCAACATCCTGTATAACCGACATGCATCTATATTGTTTGTACAACACTTTTTGGTACATATATTTCATTAACTCTCCCTCATAGATAATATTTAATTGCGAGATAAACCAGCTAAATTGATACCCTCTCTCAAGTGAAGTATATTGATTACGATAGACGTACAGGAATTGGAAAATAATATATGATACAAATACGTTTAATAAAAAATTCAATCGATGCAATATAAAAATACATAAAGTTAAATTATAATTACACTTAATATAACTTATTTTCTAATAATTGTATAGAGTATTATCGTTTTTGTAAAACTTAGTTACAATATTCACCATATTCAATAATCACATATATGTATGTATGTAAATACTTTCATATATAAAGGAAAAATTTACAAAGCTAGTCAGTCGTTTCATAGTTCTTGATGACTCATAGCTCTGGCTTGAGCTCTTACCCGTTTTTCATATTCCAAGCGATTTTGACTTAAAAAAAATGGTAGGTATTAGTTACAGCTGTGAGCAGAAAGACTAGTAAGCGCAAAGGATTTGTTAATATTTAAATATAATATAAAAGCAACGTAAAGTGTATGAAAAACAAATAATTAGTATAAAGTACCACCTACCAATAAATAGTATATGCTTCTGCCTGCGCTGGATCTTTAACGTTGGGTTCATTTAGCAAATCTTGTATGCCTAAAAGAATTTGTTTAATCGTTATTGCGGGTCTCCAATCCTTTTCTTCGTCGAGTAATGATAAACAAACTGTGCCAGATGGATACACATTGGGGTGAAAGAGAGGAGGTTCAAATTTACATTTTGGGGGGCTGCTTGGGTAGTCCTCTTTGAAGATCATCCTTAGTTTATAATGTCCACTTTCCCAAGGGGTCTAAGAGGAAAAAAAAATGTATGTGATATGTTAATACTAACTGTACAGTAATCACAATATTTCCTTACCCCCCTTTTACCAGGTATGTTGCATTCCCAGTTCATTAAATTGAGAGATCCATCAGTATTTTTTGAAGGTCTGGCAACAAAACCCTGTAAATATAAAAAGAAAACGATGTAAATATTTTTTTATTGCTATGATACATACAAAAGGGTGTTCTTTTCTCCAAGCTTTTCTTTCTTCAGCTAATCGAGCAGCTGCGATTCCAGACATTCTGTAAACAAAGGGTCAACTTGGGAGCTGTTTTTTTTTAAGAAACATGTGGAATATCTTGCAGTTAATGTCGTATCTACTTACATTCAACATTCAGTTTCTAGCGGACACTTTTCCAAGGTATTTTTAAATATGCAAATAATATTTGGCGGGTAAATAGGAAACACACTTCAAACTTCAGAAAAATTATGGTCCTTTTATTTTCCCTCGACTACAACAGACAACAGCTAATGTCAATTTAGGGTAATTTGCTCAGTAAAGGTTACTAAACTGATTATGTGCGGGAAATTTAAATAATACACAATAGAGGCAAATTCAACTTTTATTGTAAGCAATTTGGTTACAATTTATTTATTTGGAGAAATTTTTAGTAAGTTTGTTATTTTCTTCCCAAATGATAACTGTGGTTCTGCTCTGTTTCCTGAAATAATATTTAAATTTTCAGGTGGCACATCATATTCACAATTCATATTTTCTTGTTCTCGTCTGTAATCATCTTGAATTATTTCCAGTGCTAAAAAGTTTTTTTTTATATTATCTTTAATGTCTAAATATTTTTAAATACCTCTGTGTAAATCAAGAACATCCATTTCTTGATTCTGTATTAATCTAAGTCTTTGGCGAAATTTGTCTGTTAATTTTTTCCTTCTATAATCTGCCTCAATTTCTTGCTTTGTTCTTGGAATTCTAATTTTAATACAGCAGCATATTAAAACAGCTAAAATTTTTTTAAATATGTAGTGTATCCAGTTGAAAGTGTAAGCAAATACAAAATTTTCTTACCCAAAATCGTAAATGCTGAGAAACAAAAAAATATGTAGTGCCAAATTCGAAAACCATGTCCTTCAATAGCAGTCCTTTCTATCCACGGTTCATTTTTTTCGTCAGGGTTTGCGTAAAAAGTGACCATTATATTTTAAACCTTACACTTTTATCTATGCTTTGCATTAAATCCGAAATAGTACTAGAAGTAATATCGAGAAATTACCAGGGGATGTAATATTAACCACACCCCACGTCCCATTTACTCTTACACACCCTTTGGTCATTTAATTCATTTTCACATGCGATGATCTAATAAAATAATCATTTTCAATTTTCTCTTGTGGGATAATATTGCGTTATATCATATATTTATCTCTTCATATATACTTATAATAGGTGTTATTAGTCTTGTTTATTGTTTTTCTTTTGAAATCTATAATCATGAAAAAAGAGCAGTGGTATATCACTAAATTAATTGGTAGTGCGATCGATATTTCAGTTTTAAGATAATTAATTGCTATTGATACAGTTTTTTGTGGGGCTGTGTTGTTTGTGGTTTTAGCGCCTCCAATCAAAATAATCCATACAGTTTTCCACTCTGTATAGGATTTAAGCAGCCCGCGCCAGGGTCGCGCCCGACCGGAGATACACGAATGCGACCGAGGTGTCAGAAACGAACTGCTGATACTGCGGCAAGAAAGTTGTAACCTTTTATTTTCTCTTGAACTGTTTTATATAAAATTCCCGATGATTTGCTCATGATAATAATGATTTTTTCGATATATGAAAGTGTTTTTGTGGTGTTCTATTGTTCTAATTGTTTGTGAGTTTATAAATAAACGTTCAAACTGGCGACCGACAGTGATAGCAAGTCAAACATGGCTTCTTCAGCGAGAATTATTCAAAGTAATTCCGCATGGTTTCAGAAAAAGATTAATCTGAGGCCGCAACATCGGGGCGTCCATCTAGTTACCGAGGAAATCCTCAGACAAATACCGGAGTTATCCCAGTTTGCCATGGGATTATGTCATGTCCAAAGTAAGTCACTCCTTGCTGTCATTTATTTGAAAATCATTATTGTTGTGTTGTCAATTGATTCACAGCGGTTTGTTTTGATTTTTTAGTTCTTCACACCAGTGCCAGTCTGGCTTTAAATGAAAGTTGGGATCCAGATGTCCGAGATGATATGGAAATGATGTTAAATAAGATTGTTCCCGAGGGGTTGCCTTACAGGCATTCGTGCGAAGGACCAGACGACATGGTAAATAGTATTTTCCTATTTCGTGTTCAGAGCATTGAATTAAGAAAGTCGACATTAATTTGCCCTTTACAATTTTTTTTCTTTAAATGTAACATTCATGATAATTGTGTCACGTCTTTTTTGTGATTTCTTCCGTACAATTATAGGAACACTAAATTACTATTTTGTATATTTACACTAACAGCTTTCTAAAGAAATTTTTGCTCATTTGGTTAATTTTTGGGGATTCTTGAATATAAATTTTAATTCCTGACAATCATAAGATACAAATTCTTTAAATTATAAGTAGGTATGCATTTTTTCAATTATATTTTAATATTTTATGTAACTTCCATAACATTACCATAGCTTATAACTCAAAATTAAAGTATTGACAGTAATGAAGTATAAGACTCGCACCGTTTTTTAAAAGATGGTTTCGAGGCTTACACAGACAACTTTCATGACAAAGATTTGGAACAAAACTCAAAATAAAAATTGAAATAAGGATAGCCTCCCCTGAGATCTCGGAGGGGGTTGGATTTAATACTATTTGTATTCAGCGTTTTTTATTTTTAGTCAGGATATTTATTTTCTTTTTAATAAAGCTTTTTTGTGAAATTTTTAGTATGCAGGTTTAACAAGTGAATATTGTTTTTTTCAATAATTCTTTTATTAACTTAAATCTTAATGGAAGAAACAATTTGATATTTTATTTTAATTTCCAGGAGAAATTAACTATCAACAAAAGTCTCACATTGAAATCATTTTCTTAGTATCTATTTCCTCTTTCCTTAAGGATACCGTGTGAAATATAAATTATATTGATAAAATTAAGTTAGTGGTTAATATATTTTCATCCTAATAAATATCACAACAATGACACTATAAACCCTAATTTTAATAAATGTTTTATTCATGTAGCAGTCCATGTAAAATTAGGTTTTTTTCTTTGAATATTTCTCGTGCCGTCTAATCAATAACATGATACATATATGAATACAATTTAGTAAAATAAAACAAATGATTTTTTTACAGTTACACTTCCATTCTACCATTTTATCAGAACTATATAAATTGTAATAATGTTTAGTTACTTAATAAGGCTGATCATTTAAAGGTACTAAAGCAAGAAAAATTTTAATTTTAAAATAGTTGAAAGTTGTTGTTAATATCGAACTGTTTATTTTTATATTATTATAAAATATTTGAAATGTCGGCAACTTTTGTTGTACTTGCATAAACATATTAAATTTCTGAAAAAATAATGATTTGCGCATATAAACGACTTCAGTCCTGAGTACAAGTCATGGCTGTATAGATGGTGTAGCAAACCAAAGCAATTTTTTGATGACCATCAGAACTTTGGAAAATGGTGGTCTACGTCAAAAATCATTTAGTTCTGAGCCACTTATGCAATATATCTAAATAAATTCTGAAAAATGGTTTTTGAGGTATTTGCATTTGAAAATAGTTTTAAGGAAAAAAATACCTATATAATTTCTCCAGAATTAATTTTGGATTATACGTTTGTTTTGTATTAAATTGGGCTGGTTCCAATACTGAATTATTAAGTCATTATTTCAATGGAAGCAATCATAATAACTAATTATTGAAAATACTTAGTTATTTTACAATACCTTACAAGAAATCACAGTAAATATTCAAATCCATTTCGGTAAATGCATATCCTACACATCGTTTGCAGTTTAAAGTTGATGCTTTTAATAAAAGCGGAAGTTAGAATTGATCAGGCATGCCATCAATTTCTGTTGCAAAATTAAATTTTAGTTTTTTGGTAACCCCATAAAAAAGTAAGTGAAATCTGAAGAGCATGCAGAGCGCTTTTGTCCATCACTCTTTTACATTTATAATTTAAAAAAAATGAAAAATCAAAATTTATTGAAAAAAACATCTGAAACCAGCAGAATTTAATTTAATAAAATTTCAAGGCATGTATGACCCAAAGGAAGTTATAATTTAATATATAATAGTTTTTTTTTATATTTTTACGTTGAAATATCTTGGAAATCAGTGATGTTTCGGAAAATGTTTATATAGTGAAAAATTTAATGGTTTCTCAAAAGGGGCACTTTCCAAAGTTTGTGTCATTGAAAAATTTCCTTCAATTATTGCTGCATCTCTCGTATAAAGACGAATGCCATTTATACTTTGTTATCTTATACTTGCAAGAAACTGTGGTCTGTGCAGTATGCCCGTCTTATTGTATACGAAGGATAGCTGTTTTACATTGCGAATTTCTTCATGAATTAGTTCATGAACTTGACAAATGAAATGTATCAAATCTGTCAAATAATTTTTTGACGTTCTTTACAAATTAGATAAGTTTTTGTCAATTTCTTCATGGATATGAAGTTTAGAAGTACCAATATTTCCAACAATTAAATAGTGAGGTTAAGTTATTTCTTCACATGTTTTTATAAGGAACTTGAATTTTTGAAGTAGGCGTACATTATTTTCAAGTTTCAATTAAAAAAATTGCAATTCATTCAAGACAACCTGTTCATTTTGAATTTGTTTTTATTTATTATGACTTGGTTCCAATGTCGGTAGCTATTTTTGTTGCAAATAAAGACGTGAAGTTTAGAACAGTGCAAAATAGAGATAGGCTATTCAATTTTTGTTAAAGATTCTCATTATTCAATTGATTTTAAAAGTGATTCGTATCCATGATTTCTTCAATTTTCCTAATACATAACATTTATTATATTCTGTATGTGCCACATATTTATTGAAATACTTAAAATTATACGAAATTAAACTACCAGGATTGTGAATTAATTTTGAGGGATTTTGTTTGTAAATTCGAGGCTTTATTGTAAAAATAAAATTGTGTATGTTATTATTTTTCAAAGTATTGTCCATTGCTAGCCACTACTTTTTCTCATCTTTCTGGCAGCATACTGATTCTGCATCGCAAAAACAACTCATCTTTTGATGCTATCCACCAATTGATCAAATTTTTTATGTCTGTAAGATTGGAAGCACTGTTTAGCCAGGACGTGTTCTATGGATCGGAACAATATCTGGTGAATATGACGGGTGGGATAAAACATCCCATTTCAGTGTTTCTGTGTATTTTTTATTTCATGAGGAATATGTGGTTGAGTGCTGTTATGTTGAAAAGTTCCTTTATCATGCCTTTGCTCGAATTGCGGCCGTTTTTTCCTTCAATACACGGCTCAAACGTATCAATTGCATTCGGACTGTTCGGTAGTATTCACCAGTGTGATTTCGTTCGGTTGAAGCTGCTGATAGCACACAACACCAAAGTGGTCACGCTAGATACAGAGCATGAGCTTCGAACCAGGAATATTCAGCCTTATTGTCAATGTTGGACAATTCCCACGATGTTCTACACTTAGAGTTATCACAGCGTATCCATTTTTTATTGACAGTGATGATATGATGCAAAAAGCCCTCTCTTTTTTGCCGTTGTAGCAATTGTTCACACGTGAAAAATCGCCGTTCAACATCTCTGAGCTTCAATTCATGTGGCACCCAATTTCAATCATTCTGAGTGCATTTAAACGTTTGGAAACTGTTGTGTTTGACGTGAATCTTTATCGAGTAATGCTTCCAGTTTCTCATCTTCGAACTTTTTCAGTTGATTAGGTGGTTTTTTGTCAACTGTACCGAAATCACCGCTTATAAAACGTCGAAACCAATACTCACCCCCTTTTATGGATGGAATGTGTTCACTGTAAGTTTCCAATAGCACTCGATGACTTTCAGCAGCACTTGTCTTTGAATTAAACAGGAAAAGTAAAACTTCCTGCAAATGGTGTTTTGTTGGTTTGTAATTCGACACCTTGAGCTGAGAAAATATATTATGTTGTTTACACTTCACCAAAATGACATGTGATAAAAAGTAAAGCCTAATGACAGAGCTTTGACATGACTATCGTTACAGAAGTGTCCGATGGAATATAGCGTAAATTACGCCATCTATTGTAATACACACACACATACAATTTAAAATTTTTTGATTTATTCATTAATAAATTGTCAATGTAAAACAGCTATATGGTCATTGCCATAACCCAAGCCTAGTAAGTAAAACACCGTTTAGATTGTAGGATTATTTTAATTTGCTCTCTTTAAAAATCAAATATGAATTTCAATCTTACAGCCGGCCCACGTGAAAGCGTGTTTCCTGGGCTCATCCTTAACGATCCCGATAACCGAGGGCAAGCTGAACCTGGGCACGTGGCAGGGCGTCTGGCTCTGCGAACACCGGGACCACGCCGGCTCTCGAAAGTTGCTTATAACCCTGAATGGCTGCCTTCGAGATGCCACCTGCACCCCACTGTCCCCCGTCAGCCCCATGGCCAGCACGAGCAGTTAGGGAAAACACTCGGGGCACTCACTGTCCAAGCACTGACTGCCCCGAGTACTACGGAAACGACAAAGTTAGTGGCACAGACTAAAAAAATAAAATATTACGACAATATGTACATAGCTGTACATTGTATGATAATGATCATTTGTTTTTGGGTTGTAGTTATGTGGGATTGATTATTTTTCCTTTTTATTCCTTTTAATATAAGATAGTGTTTTATTTTCCATGTAGCGGGATCCGTTCCATTATTATTATTATTTTATTCATCGTGAACGGCAGTAAACTCAAAATGCCAATGCTAAGTATAAGTCGGGGATATTTTCTAAGAGTGTAACAAAAAATACTGATTTGTGACTACGTTAATCTACTTTAGGTCACTTTTTTTTTAACGATTAATTAAAATAGTGTGTTTTTGGGTAAAACTATGTTTGAACTTGTGTTTTCTTTGTATGGTGTGTTAAATGGGGGTGGTAAAATTTTACCGAAACTAATTTTACCTTGAAATACGCAAAATTGGAAGGTTTTTTGACTGGGAGCAGTGATGTACCACTAAAGTCATGTATCGCTGTCTTATACGCGGCAAATTATTCTCTTATAACGAAAGTAAACATAAATGAAACACTATTCTATCCTTTAGGTGCTGTGTATTTTATTTTAGTTATTGGGCAGTGATCGTCAAAGTACTGTTGGTGAGATAGAAGTAATATAAGTATATTCACAATTCCAAAGTGTGTTCTAGAAAATAACTGGGATCTATGAATATTGTTTTCGACTTATTAAGCAAAGATTTGTTAAAAAAAATGCCAAGTAGACTGCATTGTATACATTGGAACGAATTTAATAATACTCGTATAGCATGGTTGAACATTCTGAGGCAGAAATATATTTAATAAATGTAGTTGTACTATCTAGACTGTAGATACTTTGTTGTCATATTGCGTATGTATAGAATACTAAAGTTGATTTATAGAGCGCTGCCGTTTGTTTTATAAATATTTTTTTAATATGTCGATTAGATGAACTTTTCTTTTGCATTCTTACGTAAAGTGTTTATTTCAGTTTCTCTTCTTTTATACGAAGGGTTCAAAATAAGAAAGGTGTCACTGACATAGGCATTTGTTTCAAGAATAAAATTATACGTTCACCACGTGTCCCATAAGAGACCTAGTTTTTTTTTATTTGTCCTTCAAATTTTCTTCGAATATTAACTTTCCTCTACAATCTTGAGTGTGTATTTTTTCTTAAGTTTCCTCTTGCTTTATTAAAAAAAAAACAGTTAATTTAATTCCGTGCCAAAAAATGTGCAAAGAACAATGTAATGCTACGACAGTTTTCTTATATGTGACATTATACCGCTCTTATATTGTGCCCAAAGTTTTTTACCTAGACATCTGACAATAATGATTGTTTTTATATGTTTCAATGTGTTTAGCAGTCTGCTTGTATCGTGTATATAATAACATTACGGGTTGTATATATTGTGTGTTGTTATGGACTGAACATGTCTGTCTTCCTTCCTCCTCGTAGCAATATCCAATAGTCTCTCCTCCTGCCCCCTCCTCTTCGTTTATTGAAAGACAACGATCATTGTATTATTTTTTATTTGTTTTCAGATTTTTGAGCATACAGGGTATTGTATTTGTATGCTTTTTGATTATTCCTTAGATGGGGTTTTGTTTTACTTTGTTCTTATTTTTATTTTATTAATCAATAAATCGGAGACATTCCTAAGAAGTTTTAGTTTTTTATTTTGCAGAAATAGTCGGAGAACACTTTTGAATGAACTGGAGAATGTTTTCATAAGCACTTTGTTATTAATACACTGAAAAGTGGATAGGTTTTTTAGTTAGTGCAAACACGGATATCCAATAACTATTTTGAGAGTTTATAGAAAGTCAACGGGTTAACATTTTTGCGTGGTACATTGACAAGTGGATTTTTTTCAACTATGTTTTGTGTTTTTTTTCGACGTTTTGTAAATACTTTTTGTTTTTCCTACATTTAGTGAGCCAATTTTCACCACTAGGAAAATATAGGTAGATCACAATACTTACATTGTTAAAAATATTCATAATACATACATTGTTTTCAATATTTTTAGTGAATAAGTTATGATGTAAATAGAAATATTTCGGCATAATGTAAGAATTAACAGAAGAAACACCCATAAATTGAATAAATATATTTAAGTATGTTTATATACTACATTTTTAAGCTTTCTGACATATAATATAGGTTTTTTTAATGCAAAATCGTGTATTATAGTTTTGCGTTAAGAGTTCAACTCATGGGTATTTTTATAGTGTGAATTTAGTCCATTGTTATGAAGGTACCTAAATATATTTTTGGCAAAAATACGGCTTCTTTGAGCATTTCTATACGATTTTACACTTAAAATTCCACTTTACGCAATAATCACTATTACGTTAGACGCTTTCTAGGAAAGAAGTTAATAATTTTTTCGATTATATACTGATTTGTACCCATCCGTCCTCTATGTATAACTACTTAAATAAAAAAAGTATATTTTGAATGTGTGAAGTATGAGAAATAAAAGATGCAACCCAGAATTCATTCAGAAATGATTTTGTGTAATAATTTTGGCTTCCTGGAATCTTAAATTTTATTTCAACATATTTATTTAGATATTTAATGTACATTTTCAGTTGGTTTCAAATTTTTAAGAATTTGAATGTTGCGTTATAAATATATGATGAAGCCAAAAACCCTTAGTATGATTTTAAACTGTCTGGGTTTAATATAGCATAATTAGGAATATGAAATCATATTTTATATATCGTGACGCGGTGCGAAGTGTTCCTGTATTTAAAATATAGCGTCATATTTGTAACAGCTGTATTTTTGCCTTTTTCGTCTAAATGAAATATTCGTCGATTGAGGATCAATCGTAATATAAAATAGTACACTGCCACATTGCAAATTGTATATATATTTGTTTTTTTGATTGGTTTTTTTGCTTTGCTCACAGATTTATTTATGTGAATGATTTCCATGGCCAGTACAATTTTTTCCAGTAAAATTTGGGTAATCACATTTAGGACCTATTAAGTGCTATAAGAAAAAAAATGTTTTAGCAAAATATTTCTTCTGTATTATTGGATATTTGCAGGTATAACACATAATAATAACATGAGAAGAGAAAAATTGTACTGCTCAAAACTTTTTGAATTTCTGACTTGTAAATAAAAGTAGTTGTAAGTAAGATGTAACTAATAAATTCTTGCATATCAAGACACATGTATAAAATTATTTTTATTTTACATATAAGATATATATTTTCATAATGAAATTCTTATTTGTTTTCGCCTTGCATTTGTTACGGAAATCTGTGGGTAAATAGGAAAAAACTGATCTGATGTACGTACTGAGTACCAATTTGGGGTATGAGAGATTTTAAATCTGTTGGGTTGGCTGCATTGCAGTCGATTCGCATTCTATATTGTACCTAGCGCATAATTTGCATAAATAAAATAATAATACTAACTTCAAGTTTTATTTACGTCCATTTTTCTATGATGCATTTTGTAGAAAAATTTATAATAATCGGAGCAATGAACTAATGGGTGAAGATAAAGATTTTAAAGATTTTACTCAGCCATCGACTTAAAATATTTTCTATTAATATTATGTTGAATTGAAATTTTTTGTTCAGATAAAGTATGTTACATGTGGCATGGCAGTTTTAAGTTAATTTTTTTTCCTCTGTGATCGCAAATATCACTTTTCTGCACTTATTTTTGAAAATACATACAACTGAAACCAGCAATTTTCACTAATAATATGAAATTTTTTTAATATGTAATTTAAAAATGAATGAAAGAAAAGTAAAGGTTTCAGTTTTTTGAAGACGACACAATAATGAAAAAGTTTTTCCTGTGGTGGGGTTAGTTTGTAATAGAATTTTTAACCCTTTCTTATTGGCATTATTTTCGGTAACGGGTAGATTTCAATTCGTATAATTGTAATTGAAAAATTATATACAGGATGGTAAGTTTGATTTTTACTCATTTAACTTAATAGGTGAATTATCAAAAATCAATTGTTAAATGTACTATATTTAACAAACTATTTGCTTTCTGAGAAATGAAGTGCTTTTTCTGTAAAATGTATATAACGAGCGTTCAAATAAAAACGTGGTCAAGTTGGTTCTGAAAATTTGGACGTAGGGCGTAGCGTATAGCAAATGAACTTAAACGTCATCTGTCAAAGCGCTATATCGCCGCTATCAATTTGAATATTTTCGTTTTAAAAAGCGTTTAAAATGGTGTTTTCTCAAGAACAAAAAGTGTTTATCATAGAGTCCTACTTTAGAAATGGACGCAAGATTGATGGAATATGGAAGTATTCTATTGAGGAATGTTTCATAGAATTTCAAAATCAATTTCCCGGCGTTGTTGAGTACAAAATTTTTCAAAGTGCAGTTCAGCGTTGTGTTAATGTTTTTCGTGAAACGGGCAGTGTAATAAGAAAAGAAGGAAGCGGCCGACCTAAAAAGTGGACTGAAGAATTAAAAGAAAATGTCCAACAAATAATGGAAAATGCGCCAAGAACTTCTGTACGTGTTTTATCACAAATGGTGGGAGTATCAGTCGGTACCTGCCACACAGTGTTAAAAAAAGATTTGCGTTTGTTCTCCTATCGTTTAACTTGTCAGCAAGAACTTCATGAAGTTGATTTTCGGCGATGGGTTTTAAACAACTACGGTGAACTTCATAATATCACCTTTTTTTCTGATGAAGCCTGGTTTCATTTAAGTGGTTATGTAAACTCACAGAATATGAGAATGTGGTCTTCTGAAAAACCAGATAACGTTTAAAATAAAGTTATATAGTCATTAACGTTATTGAAACTGACAGCTGCTATACAGCTCGTTGAGAAATGAGGTTAAGTTGGTCGCTATAAGCTACTCCCTACGTCCAATGTGTCAGAGCCAACTTCGACCACATTTTTATTTGAACGCTCGTTATTTTTAAATTTTAAAGACTGATAATTTTTTTTGAAATCTTAATTTTTTAATTGATTAGAAATTAAGGTCTACTTCATAAAAAATATTTATTTGATGTGGTATACCCTTACAATTTCTGCTAAATGCAGTTATTAACTATCAACAGTGATGGCAGTCCGCATATCTTGATAATGGGTGGGACCCAGTCCGTTTCCAGATGATTTCCAGTCCACATAAACAGTTTTCATTACAAAATTTGAGAAATAAAAAATTACAGGTCAGATTTTGAAAATCGTTGCTCGTATATGTGCAAAATATTTTATTTTATAATGAACTGATAAATACAAACAGTTGTCTTCATATTTTTCACAAAATTATCATTTTTCTTAAAGTTACAGCATAAAGTTTCAAAGATAAAATGTTAGTAGGTATCAATAAATCATTTAAATAAGTGCAAGCTGCTACGAAGGAAAATTAATTTCGTGAAAACATTCATTGTCAAAACATGACCATTTTAATTCTCACCAACTATCACTTACTATGAATTATGACTTCTTCAGAGACGGTCAGATAACAATATTTCCTTAAGTGTATAATTTTTAACTTGTCATTAAAACAACAAGGTATATTCCCTGAAAAGCAGCAAGTGTTTGCCCCATACTTAAAGCTGGTGACCCCGGTGCTGATATAGAAAACTACAGGCCCATTACCATCTTATCTAACTTTGCTAAAGTGGTGTCCGTGTATAAGTGTATCTAGTAAAAAATATTATCTCTGTCGACCAGCATGATTTTATGGAAAAATGCTCCACTAATACTAATATAATTTGTTTCGCTCAGTTTGTTTTTGAGGAAGTGGACAAGTTAGGGCAAGTGGATGTTGTTTATACGGATTTCTCCAAAGCATTTGACCGGGTAGATCACTCTTTGCTACTATCTAAATTGAGCAGTTATGGATTCTCTTACCACTTGGTCAATTTGTTCCGGTCTAATTTGTCTAATCGTTTTCAATATGTTACCTAGAATGGATTTAATTCCATTCCTTATTTAGTATCATCTGGCATTCCGTAAGGGTCGAATTTAGGTCCGTTACTTTTCTTTCTGTTAATGATCTTAATAGTGTAGTCGACTGTAAAAAATTGTCCTTTGCAGATTAATTGAAATTGTTCAATACTGTTAAATCAGTTGATGATTGTGTAAAGCTTCAGTTGCAGCTAATTAATGTGTAATTTGAACAAACTTTTTCTTAACAATAAATGCAAAACGATGTCATTTACTCGTAAATGTAATTTTGTTCAATTATGAAATTGATTCGCATGTGTTGGCTCGCTAAAATTAAGTTTTACGTCCAACATAGAGCACACCGCATCTCCTACGAAAGCACTTGGATTTATAATTAGACAAGGTTGGGATTTCCATGATATTAAGGTTCTAAAAACCTTGGTTTTTGCCTATGTGAGATCCAAGCTTGAATATTGCTTGCTCGTTTGGAGCCCTTTTTATGACAATCATGTTAGATCGATCAAAACGGTACAGAGAAAAATTCTAAAATATCTTGTATATAGCATTGATTGTATATATCCGGAGCGTGGTTGTGACCATAATATATTACTTAGTCAGTTCGATCTTAATTTGTTAGATTTTAGGAGATGCTGCAATTAACTTAAATTCTTGCATTCTTTTTTACGTCATGGCATCGACTGTCCAGAAATTCTTAGTCATCTTTATTTTCTAGTTCCTAGAACTTCAAATCGTTCTTGGACTATTTTTCACATTTCTATAACTAGATCTAATCTTTTATAGAAGTCACCACTTGACAGGATATTTTATAATAATTATGATTCTATTTGTAACACGTGTGACATTTTCAACTGTTCTCTTTCTGAGCTTTTTGATGTGATTAAGAACAGGTTTATTTATTTCATGGTTTATGGATTTTAAGAAAATGGCTCATGCTATTAAAATCTTACAAGAGAACCTTTTTTATGCAAAATATGATAAATTTTCATCATTTCGGTTCAGGAAGTAGAAAAAATTGCATATAAAAAAAAATTGTAAAGTTTGCCCCATGATCCCGCATTTTTATTTGTATATTATACCAATTATTAGGCATACAAATAGTAGTACCTACAACCCCAAAATGTCATGATTTAATATTAAACCGTTTTGAAATAAAAACTTCCCTGAGTTACCCCTTCAAGGGCCTGTATCTCCCTTGGGGGCTGCCACTGCAAAATCTCTACCAATTTTGATTACTTATTTCGTTAACACCTTGTATATGTACATAGAAATAGTTTATTGGAGAATATACGAATGACAATGGGATAAACATTTTTGTGAAGATATTTCAGTTTTTTTATCTTTATCGTATGGTCTAAAAAAAAATTTTTATTTATTTTCCCATATCTCAAAAGTAAACATTTTTCGAATATGGTTTATAAAACAAATTATTATTTTTTGAGAGCATTAAAATTCGATCCACCCTATATGTAGAGGTTCAACGACTTTGAAGGTCTTAAAACTTGAAAAATACGGGAACAACAGTTATTATCTTTTATTTAAATTTGAAATGCATCAAGTACAAAATTTTTCTGCAGCATTTTATATTTATATAACCTACCTTACGGTTAATAACAATTCACATATTTAAGTTTACAAAGTTCGTAATTATACTACAATACATTTAAACACTACAAATAGAGGGGCGTAATAAATGCACAATTATTTAGCGGCACCAACTTCTCCGCTGTCTATTTTATGCGGTCCCGGTCCTTTGTTCTCGTTTATTTTATCCTGAACGGCATTAAAACTGTCCTTAATTTCATCTAAGGCTTTGCCCAGTCCGGTTTTTATATGGTTGAACTCTTGCGTTACCAGTGACAATCTACCCAACAGATAGTTCAGGTTGTCTTCAACCTCTGTGATTTTAGCGGTAATCAAACCCACCTGAAATGAAAAATTTTATTTAATTTCTGACGGAAGTCTTGTTCTCGGTTCATACCTTTCCTTTCATACTGTCCATAACATTAACTGATCCGTTGACGTAGGCATCAGTCTGGTTTTGCAATTTATTTAAGGTATCTGTACTAGCGCTCATTTGTTGATGCATTATACCAATTTGCCTCCAGACTTGGTCTATTTCTTCTCCTATTTTTGAGGTCAGATTGGCCAAAGCTCCCGAATCTTCGTCTAGAATTGATAGTTCAAAGCTATCGAATCTGGAACGGTGCACAAATTATTATTATTATAATTATTAATATTAATATTAATAACAAATTAGAGAAGGGCATTGATTCCCAGATCAAAACTGAAAAAATACAACCTTAATCTTATACTTTACAAACTGAAGATCTGTCGAGTTCAAATTAGAAATTAAGATATCAATTTTGTTTATAAACAAGTTTACAGATTATGCCTCAACAATCTCTTATGGCAAGGTGGTTCCAAACTCTGAAGTTTCTATTGAAGTGTCTGGCACACCTTTTAAAATTTGTTTTCGTTAGTTTTATTAAGTGTTCACGAATTTGATTGTTAGTGTTAAATGAGAAAATTGATCCTGGGTCACCAAAATTATACCTCATTATTCAAAATGGAAGGTGTCATAGTTTCCCGTAGGGGTCCAAGCAAGTGGCATATAGAATATTGTTGGAGATTTTCCAAAAGATTTTTATCAGAAGTGGGATCAGGATACCACACTGGTCCAGCATATTAAGGTATGGGCGGGATGTAGGTTTTATAGAATTTGCAACAGGTTTGGTGACACTGATGGGAGTACATTTCAAATTAGATACAGTCTAGTATTAGCGCATTTACGAACCGTGGCAAGATCACTGCAAGTAGGTTACAACTTTATCATTAACCCAAGATTATTATGTGACAGTACCGTTCTTAAATCCGGTCAGTCCAAAAAAATAAGATAATTGTTTATTATTGTGGCCAATATAGGGCCCTACACACTTACTGCATTTAACGATAGAAGCCACTGTGAATATTATCACTGCAGGGAATCTATGTTGCTCTGAAGGTCATTATAGCTAGTTGCAGAGTTAGCAAATACTTTAGTTCTTTACATAAAACGATATTGAGCTAGTGTTGATATAGATAACAAACAACAATGGACCAAGAACAGAACCTTGTGGTATCCCGCTTGTTATTGGTCTATGACAACTCTGACTTGAACACCGAGGTGTTCCAGTTTATGTAAACGACGATGCTTTGGAGAACTCTGTCAAAAGTTCTGTAAAAGTCAAGATAAATTTATATCTATCACGCCCTTATGGCGCCCGATAGTTTCAATCCAGGCATTTAGACAATGGAGCAAGTTGGTTTATGCTGATCGACCTTTGACGAATCCATGTTGCTCAGAAGGAACTAGGTTCATATGAACTAATTCTTGCAAACAATGGGTAATAAGGTTGTCGGATCGTAATTATAACAGCGTCAAGTTTATATCTTTTGTTGAATATAGGAGTAAAGGGTGCCAACTTGCAATCTGTGGTACATAATATTAGGAAAGAAAAGTATTCATTATCCTATGCAAGGGATATGAGAGTACATCCGATCATCTCTTTAGAAAAATAGATTAAGAAGAATTTCCAAGAATATTTAATAAATAGTTTTTTATTTCCTGATAAAATTGAATAACGATGAACTCTGGGTATGATCGGTAGACACAGGCTTTTGAAAAGGACAAAGGCAAGACTTCCGCTGATTATCGGTTAGATATACATAGATCTAGTTTTTGAATTAAATGAGTATCAACTTTTGAAGATAGTGAAGCACAAACGTATTTGAAGGATTTTTTATTGTTGCTACTATGTGCAGTTATTTCTTTGCAAATCTACCGGCAAGAAATCGTCTATTTTACAGCTTCAGAAAATCTTTTAAGATTAAGAACATTCTTCATGTTATGAGAAAGTTTATACAGGGTGTTAATTAATTTAGTATATACAATAAATTCAACAAACAATTATTTGAGTTTTAAGACAAAAAATTCATATAAACATTGGTCCGCAGATGCTTCGTTTTCAAGATACAGGGTGTTAAACTTTTGGAAAAAATTGCTATTTCGTAAATACCTTACACTCTTTACCCAATTTTGTTGTAATTTGGCAGTGTTATTTGTAGTGTTAAGGGGCTAATTTAACCATAACTTCAATAGATTGTCCAGTGGCGTCCCGAGCGGTAGGTGCCTTAACGAATATTTTAATAATGTTTCTTGTGTGGTCCAGGGATATGCAATTAAGTGGATTTTTTTCTCCAAAAATTAATCATGATACGAAAAACATTCAAGAGAGAAAAAAGTTGTATTTTTAGTTACTTAATCAAAAAAAAAAAAAAAAATTACAAGAAAGTCAGTTGCGTACATTTTTGTGTCAAAAATATTCGTTAAGTACCGCACGGGACGTCACTGGACTTAACAAGTCTAATCAAGTTAGGGTTAAATTAGTCCCTTAACACTACAAGTAACACTGCCAAATTACAACAAAATTGGGTAATTGTATTTAAGATATTTACAAAATAGCATTTTTTTTTACAAAAATTTAACACCCTGTATCTTGGAAACGAAGCATCTGCGGACCAATGAATGAACTTTTTGTCTTAAAATCACTCAAATAATCGTCTGTTCAATTTATTGTACATATTCAATTAACACCCTGTATATTCTCCAAAAATTTCTCTTGCACTTTGTTAATCATAAAACATACAAATTGATCCAGGGTTTTAACTTGTAAAAAATTCAAGATTGTGTAATATCACTGGAAAGGCGTTGTGAATAGTGAAAATGATTTCACATAAAACTATTAGAACGTAAATATCAGAACTTGTAAACCGTTTTACTGTATTCTCGGATAAAATACAATTAGCAAATTCTTACCTTTCATTAATACCCTGATTAATATCCTTTGTACTATCCTTTACTTGTTTCGAAACTTCAGCAAGAATCTGGTGAACTCCGTATTCCACCCGACGTTTCGTATCCAAAACATCATCGGCAGTTCTCAGCATCACTTGTTCTAATTTACCCAAAGCTTGAATTTCGGCCCTGATTTTCTCGTAATTATTTGAAAACCTTTCAGTCAGTGTGACTGTTATATCAAATAATTCATTTATGTTCTTCATAGTTTCGTTGCTTTTATTTGCCATGGCATCCTGTATATTGTTTAATGGAACTTGTATTAGCTGTGCAGTCTTTTCTGGGATTAATAATAATTCATTTATGCTTTTCATAGTTTCGTTGCTTTTACTTTCCAAGTCATCCTGTATATTGTTTAATGGGACTTGTATTAGCTCTGCAGTCTTTTCTGGGATTAATGTGTTTTCTTGTTTTATTTCCTCTAATTTTTCTAGTGTCACGTTTTGGGAATCTTCAATATCGGATTTTTGTGGAAGAGCATCCAAGGTGTGTTTCAATGTTTTCACATCGGATAAAATTTCTTTTACTTGAGATTTTTGACTCTCCAATACTAAAAGTGTGAAATACAAAACAAATTAACGTTAATACAAATATTATTAACTTATCACATTTTTACCTTTTAAAAAGTTGTGCTTCCATTCTTCTTCTTCCTTGTAATTGGGTAAGGGAATCTCCGGAATTTTGTTGTTGTATTCAGCGAGCTTTGTTTCGTATTTCGCCAACAATTGTTCGCTGGTATCTAACTGTCTTTTAACTTTTTCAAGATTCTCAGAAGATTTGTTATTGATGTCGTTCATATTTTTGTTGTCATCCCTAATTTTCAGCAGCTCGTTCTCCATATTATCTATAGTGGTTGTTACCTTGTCCATTTTGTTCAGAACTTGCTTTTCCAATTTTTCAAAGTCCTTTTTGGATATCACAGGTTCTATTATTTGGGCAGGTGGTGTATTGCTTTGAATCTAAAACAGAATAACAGGACTTAGTCTGGGAGATTAATGTTTTTTATTCAGGGAACAGTAAGTGCGTGAATTATGTCGGATTCCCAAAGTTGGCTAAATGCATAATTTTCTTTTACTTTTTGGAAGTATACATACCTTATCCAGAATATCATTTTTGATTTGTTCCATTATAACGGGCAAATTCTTCTGTATGTCCAAGACTACATCGTAAGTCTTCTGTTGCTGTATCTTCTCCCGCTCTTCTTTTTGCATCAAAAGTGTTTCGACGTCCGCTAGCCTTTCGTCTAACCTGCTTACGGTCCCTTTCAGCGGATCCAGCATTTTTATCCTTTTATCTATGTTAATCATGCCCTTTTTGAGTTGCTCGCCTACGACCCTGTCCCTGTATTCGTGACGTTCTAATTTGTCGTCCGTCGCCCGTACAACGTTGACGATTTGTAATATAGCAATCCTAATGTCTTCATTTCTAAAAAGTGGAAAAAATTATATCATTTAAATTTTTATGTCGACTAAAAAATTTTAAGTTACAGTATTTTCCTATAAATTCAAAACATCAAAAAATATACACAGCTAAAAAAGGGCAAATATATTAAATTGTGTTTAAATATATGATTTTTACAAGACGCGACATCATAAAGTTTCCTCTTGGTTGTAATTTTTTGATCAGACATTTCCCCCTGAGACGCTTTCATTATTTTTGATATTGCTGTACGAGATGGGATGGCACCATAACCATCTGTTTATGTGGTTATTTATTACTTTATGTTCGTTTCCCTCATTTATGTTTCCTATTTAATTATTTTATGAGATCATAAACGTTTATTTTCTTTACAGTGTGTCCCATCTGGGATATTTCAATATTTCCCCGGAACTGGACTATGTGTGACTGATTTAGAGAATCCGCTAGCTACTTGTTGCGTAATGTATTTTCTCAGTCTATAAATCTGTTTTGTTTTTCAATTATCATAAGACATTTTAAATTTTATTATGAAACAGTGGCCTAGATTCTAATGAATTTAGTGCATATTTTTTAACATGTTAACAGCGAATTTATTAAAACGCTATATGGATTACAAAACGACAGAAATATTATTAAATTTCTGTTCTATTTTTGTATAAGTTTCATCTTTCACAGCAGTCCTAAAACTGTTCTATTTTAGAAGTATGCGTCTTTTTACTTTTTAAAACTGAATGGTCTAATTAATTAATTTTTATGATATACATTCATAATAAAAAAGCTGTTTTCCGTTAATAATTTAATTAAATTGGTTCAAAATGTGATTCAAATCAATCTGACATAAAAGTTCTGCATTTTTTTCAAGTTATGAAAACAGGCGAGAGAAGTATAGTAACAGTTATTCTATAGATGATAAATATTCACTATATTAATATATAGTTTTTTTTTCCAAAAAATGCATAAAAATAGGTTACCATACATAACTTGATGTCTTATAACAATAATTACGGATACATTGTACTATAGCAATTTACCATTTATCTAAATAATAATAATTAGCCGTATGACATGTTGCAGTATGAACTCATTTTTGTTGTTTTTAGTGTTCTATAAACAATGAATCAAATTTGGATTATTATCTTAGAACATAAAAACATTATTAAGTTCACCTTCAAAACTAAGCCCAAAACTGTGACAGGCATATAAATAGAAAGTAAAATTATACATTATTCCGTTTTCTTACTGCTAATTTAAAAAAAACATTTTTTTTTATTCTTCAATATTTTGTATCTCGACGAAGATTTTCCGGACACAGGTTTATAGCAACTTTTTTTGTTAATTTGTAACGTAAAATCCGCCATTGAAGCTTGTTCAAGTTTTTTAGTAACACCCAGTAAGTTACACTTCCATGTTTCGAAATGATAATCATAACTATTTAAGGTAGTTAATTATGCAACATTTATTTTACATTCGAAGATGAACATTACCAGTTTTTTTATGTGTTCTTGTTAATAAATAATCGTTCTATAATTATTTTTCCCACTTGAGCAGTAGCAGAATAATTTGATTTTTATCTGAGATTCTGATGAATTCTTAAAAGTTTTAAATTACCACTTTAATTACACCGCTATATTTGAGTTATGGAGCTTTGAAGGTAATCACATAAATATAAACAAAAACGGTTTCTTAGCTATTGCCAAAAATATTTTTTTATTTATTTTTTTCATTTCAATAATTTTTAACCCGTCAATAATAATTGGACACAGGTTTTAAAGGCAAGCTTGCAACTTTTTTATGATATATCTTCTATTTTTTTTTAATGTTTGTTGCGAATCACCCCTTGAACATCCTGAAACTTTACAAACCGCAGGATCATGGATTTTTGTAGATTACTAGAAATGCACGTACTGATGATAAGACTTGGTTTAACCGATAATTTTACTTTGTAGTTTGAGTAATTTTTAAAGGCTTTTAGCATTACGCGTATATTTTTTGAAATATTAACCATAGTTGTTTTTTGATAGTTTTCGATAGATATTATTTGTAAGTAATTACTAATTTAAAGGATTTTATTTTTGAATTGAAAAAAATATCTATATACATACCTATATTTGCAAATATTGAACCGTTTCGTAAAAAAAGCTAAAATGATTGAATATTACACTAATGCAAAAAAGTCAATTTCGAAGAATTTTCGAAAATTTTCGAAGCTTTTTTTTGGAAAATCTTCCGGACATTGAAGAAAACAAAATCCAATTGTTTCCAGCACAACTCGTCTTTTTCGTCCTATACTTTTGTTCATCAACTTTTAATTAAATTAAAATTAAAGTTGACCAAATTTCGCCCCCATTCATACCATTTTTTGAGACAAAGTTCTAATTAATTTCTGTGCAGTCTGTAATCACTTAAAAAATACTTTTTTTCAAAACTACCCTTTTTCTTCTCTGAAAAAACAAAATATATTTTTTTTTCATCAAATTAAACGTTATTTGCGGTAAAAATATCAGAAAAACCTCAAAAACATTTTTTTTACATTTTAATCATTATTATGAAGTATTTACGCTCAAAAAACGTGACCCTTTTATTTTTTTCAAAAGTTTGACTTCAAAAACTTCACAGGGTTCTCCTGGGTATATCGATCTGTAAAAGTTAGACATTAGTCATTTCGTGAATATTTCTAATTTAACCGTCAATTTTCTAAAAAAAACATAAATTACCCTTTTTTCCTGTTTTTTAAAATTCGTGTAAAACGTGAAAAAAAAATTTTTTTCCGAAAAGTTGCGGCAGCATGTTATACGAAATTCATTAAAAGTCCGATATTTCGATTAAAAATGGTCGTATCGAAATTTGAATAAAAGGAAATTGAAGCTTAATAAACAAGCTATCTGGTCCATACAATGGCTTAGCTGAAAAAAATCTTTCCAAAAGCTGTTTTACATTGACAATTTATTGATCAATTAATTGATGAAGTCGTTTCATCAAGAAATTGGACAAGTGTAATGCACCAAATCAGCTGTCAAATAACTTCATCAATTTTAGAAGGTACAATTTTTTTATCAATAAGTGCATTAAATTCCAAAAAAATTGAAAAAATTTTTGGTGACATACTAATTTCGAAAAATGTCATGTACTTTATTTAAACTTGTACCATTATTTTTGTGAATAGAATTTAACAAATTTTTTTAAATAAATTTTTGAAAAATAAGTGGATAACAATTTTTGTATACAGGGTGATTCACAAACCGTGACCAAAAATGAAACCTCGTATTCTTTGGTGAATTTTAAGGGGTCATTCGTATAAAGTTTTTATCTAGGACGCTTTGTTAAAAAGATACAGGGCGTTAAACTTAAATTTAAGTTTAAATATTTTTTAAAAAATATTTAATTTTTTTTTAAATAATTTAAAAACTAATAAGTGAAATAATTTGAAATTGGGCACATGTATTTATCTAAAAATTGTACAAAATCTGAGGCCTTTTCCTAAAATTCAGATGCTCCAGTGGCGGAGGGTATCGGTGGCATATTTTTCTAAATAAAATAGTACGCCACTGCTTTACGGTAAACATCATTATATTTTCGTATATATACATATACATATACCTACTTATATCAAACTTTTTATAAAAAAAAATAATGTACCCCTCTATTTGTATTATTTGCGATTTTAGTACCCATAACAATTTAGTTCAGGAATTAAACCTCGAATTAAACACTAATATTTGATCGTCTTAAAATAAATGTTAATATTTCTGTGTCAATTGCATTCCCATTAAATACTGTATGTAGCCACTAGTTTTTCACAGAATTAGGTTGCAACTGTAATTAAACGGTTATATCCTATCTTATATGGCAGTATGCGATTATATCCGAGTAGGTACAAATGGGGCAGAGAGCGCACACTCTATCGGTATAATGAAAAACGGTCCAGATGACTGAGATTTATAAATAAACCCAAGTTCGTTTACCCCCCGGCAAGAAGTGCATCTATGAAAGCAAAAACCGACGCAGATTGTGCTTATTGAAACAACTGCCGATATTTACGGGTATTTGAAAAGGCCACTTGTCCTCCTCTTTGAGGCATTTAAAATAAACAGAACCCCGTTCTTCGGGCAAAAGCGATATGCGACCAAGAAACGCACGTACATACAACATAATTATGTATGTGGGGTCCAGAAATATTTCTGCTACTCTCCATTAGTGTCGTGTTAACGTCGACATTTGTTTTCATTGCACTAGTAGTATAAATATTATGACTTTGCTACTGTTCTCAGTTACCTTGACTGAAAAAGTGCATAAACACGCTCTACTTAAGCGCTGTAAAGCGTTGAAAGAGGAAATAAAAATAAACTTCAGGAGTCGATGTTTTAATTATATTGCAACACGTCTATTTTATGAATGAGGACGAACACGACCAATAAGTTTAGTAACTCTGCGAATTTACAACCGAGGTTACAATTGGAACTGTGAATTATTTTAATAACATTTTCAGGTTCCTAATTCAAAAACTTTTAGACGGAGAACCAGGTCTATTCGATGTAATTAATATATTACTATAAATTACGTTTTAAAATAAAGAACTGACTGACACAACTTTTATTTATATGCAATATAGAATTTGTATAACGATTTTCAGCCTTAGTAAATTAATTTTGTTATCTCGGTAGTGTACCTGAGACACCTGTTCTCACAATCAGTTTCGCTTGACTGACTACAGTATGTTTGTGTACACAACTACTATAATCAACTATCAAAAAACTAGGTTTAGTAAATTCAAAGGATTTTTTTTTCATCTGGCTCTTGGACTATTTTAAGGGTCGTCTTTAGTTACAAAAAGAGTAGGGTATACATCTGTTTGTATTTAAAGTGTTGAGTGGGTTAAGACGGCGTGTGTTGTGAAAATATACCGACAGTCCCATTTAAAACTATAACAACAATTTTGTATTTTAGTATTTAAATAAATCAATTAATTTAAAAATTTCCCAAAAGATTAGTTTTAAGCACACAAAGAT